AAAAAGGGTTCATGGACATGGACAGCAGTGTGGTGATTGCTAGGGGGAGGGGATATAAGGAGGCTAAATGGTAATGGAAAAAAATACAATAAAGAGTAAATTTTAAAAGCATACCATCTATAATAAAAGAAAATGAAACAGATGTGCACTGAAGAAGCATGTAAATATTTATATACAGTCATGTTCCCCCCAACAGTGTTTTGGTCAACAGTGGTCCACACATATGTGTAGCCTAGGTATGCGGTAGGCTGTACCATGTAGGTTTGTTTACGTGTACTCTGTCATGTTCACAAGCTGATGAAATCACCTAACAGAGCTTTTCCCAGAATGCATCCCCTCCATAAAGTGATGCCTGATTGCAGTGAGTGTTACACAGTGCTGGCGAAAGAGGTCAAGAGAGACCTGCGTGAGTGGAGAGACACTGTGTCCATGATTGGGAGACTCAATATATATTGAAGATGCTGGTTCCTTCCAAATTGATCTATAGGTTCAATGTAATTCCTATCAAAATCCCAGCATTGTTGGCATAGGGAAACTTGTTCTGAATTTTATATGGAAACATAGCGAAAATAATCATGGACAAGAAGTCTGAAGTAAGAGTAATCACTCCACCTGTTTGTTATATATGTTATTCTATAATTGCAGTAATTAGGACGGTGTCATATTAGCAGAGGGATAAATGCATAGATCAGTGGAACAGAATAGAGGACCCATAAATAAACATAACTACTATATGTCCCAGTAATTCCACTCTTGGATATTTATCTCAGAGAAATAAAAGCTTTTCTTCACACAAACTTTTCTGCATGAATGTTCATAACAGCTTTATTTGTAATAGCAGGAAACCACCCAGAAGTCCCTAAACGGGTGAATCATTAAACAAACTGTAGCGCATACATCTTGGGAAGTGCTCCTCAGCAATGAACAGACACTATTGGTAACACGCAGCAACATGGATGAGTCTCTAGGGAACTGCACTGAGTGAGAAAAGCCAGTTCCCGAAGGTTATACAAGGCAGGATTCCATTTTTATAATAGGCTTCCAGTGGAGACCGGATTTAGTGGTTGGGAGTTTAGGGGTGGGGTGGGGGAGATGGAAAAGGAGGTGGATGTGTTTATGGCAATGTAAAAGATCCTTATGGGGATGGAACTGTTCAGTATCTAGAAAACGGTGGTTGGTACACAGACCTATATGTGTGATAAAACTGTATTGTACCATGCACACACACACACACACACACACACACGAGAATCTGTAATACTGGGGGAACCTGAATGAGGCCAGTTGATTGTATTAATGCCCATGACTCGGTCATGATATTGTACTACAGCTTTATAAAATGTTACTATCAGGGAGCACTGAGTAAAGTGTGCACAAAATATCTCTGTATTTCTCACAACAGCATGTGAATCTACAATGATCTCAATGTGAATTTCGATTTACAAAACTATTTCGTATACAGTAAAAAAAATTGAACTTCAACCTTATGACCATTATAAAGCTTGTTTTATTGTTTGTTGTGGGAAATGTAATTAACTCAAAGAATAATACCCATTGGATGACTCAAAAAATAATTACACAAAAAGATTGAAAAGAAATGGATGCAATAAAGCTATAGGAGGCAAACACTAATCAAAATAAAACTGGCGCAGCAATATTAATATCAGCCAAAATAACCTTTATTACAGATGAGCATCACTACAGATAAAGAAAGTTATTAATGATTAAAAATTCACCTGGAACATGTAATAATCTTTAACTAGTATTACTTAACCAATATAGCCTTGAATGGTATAAAGCAAAAATTAAGAATAGAGGTGAAAATGACAATTCACAAATCTTAGTTCTCAAGGTTGTTTAAAGCACTTTTTCTTGGTCACTGATACAACAAGGAGCCAAAAATATTTCTAGATAGAATATTTGAACAACATGTGTAGCACAATTCAACCATCAAATCATGGAAGTTGATATATATTATTTCAAGGACACATGGAACACTTATAAAAACCAATCATGTATGGGGCTACAAGGAAGGCTCAAAATACAGTACCAAAGAATTGGTCCCTTGGAGCACGGGTGAGCCAGAATCTATGGCCAGAAGGCCAAATCCAGCCAGCCGTCTGTTTTTGCCAATAAAGCGTTATTGGCACACAGCTGTACCCATTCATTTACATGTTGTCTGTGGCTGTTTTCATGCTATAATAGGAGAGTCGGTAGCTGCAACAGAGAATATATTAAACACAAAACTTAAAATATTTAGCCCTGACCAGTACAGCTCATTGGCTGGGCATCATCCCACAAAGTGAAAAGTGACTGGTTCTATTCCCGGTCAGCGCACATGCCTGGGTTGTGGGCCCAGTTCCCCCAGTCAGGGGCATGTGTGAGAGGCAACCGATCGGTGTTTCTCTCACACACTGATGTTTCCTTCCTTTTCTTTCTCCCTCCCTTCCCCTCTAAGAATAAATAAATAAAAATGTCTTCTAAAAAAACTTAAAATATTGGCTATCTGCCCTTTTACAGAAAAGGTTTGCTGGCCCGTGCCTAGAGAATAGGTCCATGGAACACAAAGCGACGTCAGACATCAGTAACTCACAGGGAGGCAAGTGCTTAGAAATCAGAAATCACACTTCCAAACAATTCAAGGACCAAAGAAGAACGTCTAAGCTGAACTTACAAAACATATCAATATCTGACATTAAAATGTACAGGTCAAAGGATGGTATGAAGATAAAGAAGAACTCAAGAAATTTTAGCCTTATAATGTTAATGTTGGAACACAAGAGAGATTGAAAATTAATGTACCATACTCAAGAAGCTAGAAAAGGGTGGCCTATTGATTTGTTACATGGGTCCCGAGACAATTGCGTGGGAGATGAACTAGTGTTTCCAACAAATGACTCAAGGACAACTGGATATCCACATGCAAAAGAGTGAAATTGGATCCTTACCTCACACTATACACAGAAATTAACTCAGAATGATCAAAGACTTAAATATAAGAGCTAAAACTATAGAACTATAGAAGAAAACCTAGATATAAATCTTTGCAAGGTGGGATTAGGCTATAATTTCTTAAATCTGAAAGAAAAAATACAAGTAACAAAAAATAAATTGGCTTAAAAAAAGTTTGCACTTCAAAGAACACTATCCTAAACATGAAAGAACAGCCCACAAAATAGGAGAAAATATTTGTAAGTCATATGTCTGATAAGTGTCTGGTAATATATGAAGAGTAATTATAACACAACAATAAAAATAAATAACTCAGGAAATGGACAAAGGATTTGAATAGACATTTCTTCAGAGATGTACAAATGACTGATAAGCACATGAAGAGATGCGCAGCATCACAGTCTTTAGGGAAATGCACATCAAAACCACCATGACATGCCCCTTCATCCCCATTAGGATGGCTATAACCCAAAAGGTTGGCAATAACAAGGGTTGATGAGGGTGTGGAGACTGTAGAACTCTGCTGCCTAGCCGGTGGGAATGTACAATGGTACAGTTACTTTGGAAAATAGTCTGGAAGTTTTTCAAAAGGTTAGACATAGAGTAACTGCATGACCCAACAATTCCACTTTCACTGTATATCCAGGAGAGCCAAAAACATGTGTCCACACAAAACTGTGTACATTAATGTTCATGACAGCCTTATTCATGACAGCCAAAATGTGGAAACACGCCAGTTATCTACCAGCTGAGGAATGAGTAGACGAATGTGGTATGTCCATACAATGGAATATTATTCAGCCATAAAATATAATGGAGCACTGGTATGTGCAACAAGATGAGAAATGAAAGAAGACAGACACAAAAGGCCGCATGCTGCATGATTCCTCTGATATGAAATACCCAGAATAGGCAACTCTATAGAGACCTAGCGTCCTGGTCACAAAGGACCAGGGTGGGGTTGGGGAGAAATGGGGGGCAAATGCTAATAGGTACAGGGTTTTTTTTGAGGTAAAGAAAAGGTGGAATTCTGTAGTGGTGGTGGTTATACAACTTTGTGAATGGACTGAAAACTACTAAATTGTACACTTAAAAAGGCTGACTATTTTGGTATATAAATCATATCTCAATTTTTTTGAAAAAGGAGAAAAGAAGCTAGAAAGTAAACATCAGAATAAAACAAATCAAAGGAGGAAGTAATAAAATTAATGAAATAAAGAAAAACAAAAAGAATTGACAAAACCAAAAGTTGATTTTTAGGAGAAAAATATAAAAACTAGAGAAAAATGCTTCCAGTGAGAATAATGAGAGATTCTAAGCAACTAGACTGAAAACCAAACCTTGCCTTGTCTGAATGATGAATAAAATGAATGTGGATCAGTTATTTTCTTGTCACAGGTTGAGGCGGCTCCGCTCCGCACCCCCACCCCGTCTCTCTCTGCCGTTCCTAGGGGCCATGCCGCAGGCCCACAGCCTCCACCAGAGCCTCCACTTCTTCCCCACATTCTTCTCTAAAGGCTCGGGATGTGCTGAGGGACTGGGAAGAGCTGGGAGGTTTTATGAGGCTCTGCTTTTTCTAGGGGTTTATCTTCCAGTGTTTCTTTTCCCAGCATCATAGACTAGTTCACTTTATTTGTTGAACTGGTCAAATTATTTTCAAAATTTGCAACATTGATGGAATTTGGTCAAGACAGAGGGGATTGACTCAGTTTGTTTCCTAAGATGCTGGGCGCACACCCCTAAATTGACTCCAACCCAAAGGGCTGGGAGTTGTCTGTGCCCACTTAACTCTGTGGTCCACAGGCCGTCCTTGAACCCCATGGAGGGTTCTTATTCAAGGCCTCCAGCAAGCCAGACCCACTCTCCTCATAGGCCTGGTACACTTATCCCACTTACTCTTGCCCTGTCTAGAAAATTACTGTCCAGGGGTTCAAAACCCTGACTGGACCAAATGCCCCTTTCAGAACACGTATTGGGTGGGTCCATAGGTGCCACAATACACAGGAGGAACTGAAGGTGAAACAAGTGGCAGTGTGACTCTCTTACAGATGGCAAGGAGAATGTCATGCTTCCACAGAACCCTGGGACCTCGAATGCCAGAGCTGAGACCTTCTCTCCCCGGGTCCGAAGAGCCACCACCTCAAGGACAGAGAGGATATGGCCCGGAGGGGTCATCCCCTACGTCATTGGAGGGAACTTCACTGGTCAGTAGTCCCAGATGAGGTCTGCTTTGGGGCTTGGTGTTTCATCTCCCTGGGTGGCCATGAGTCCTCCCAGGAAGAGCTCAGGAGGGACTGAGCGGATGTGGGGTCACAGCAGTCCTACCCGCTACCACTACCTCACGCACAGAGGGCCTCATAGGCATGGGGATCCCACAGTCCCTGTTGTGGTTACATCCACAAAGGTGGTCACCTTGTCCCTGAGGCAGAAAGAGTGTGATAAGCTGCACAGGGTCGCTTACCTGGCCTTTGCCTGGATTAGCCCCCTGGCCCACCCCCAGCCCCAGGAATACTGTCCCCAGAGTGGGCCAGTGCCTGTGGTCAGACCACCTGGGTCCAATCTGGCTGCAGCACTTATTAGCCCTACACCCTTGGGCAAGTTACTACTTAATTAACTTCTAGGAGCCTCTGTTCCCTCTGCTCTAAATGAGATAATATTTTTTTATTCTATAGGGTTGTTCTGAACATTAAAAGTTCATTTAGATAAAGCACTTAGAATAGTGCCTAGCACATAGTAAGTAGTAATTATTTGCTATTGGTATTATTATCTTTGAAATATGTAAACCATTCGGTGGCTTCCCATCAGCACCGATGAAGTCGGAACTTCCAACCATGAGCTCTAAAGCCCCCCTCCAGGCAGCCCTTGCCCCCACGCCCACCCCACCCACTCTCCTCTCTCCTTGGTTGCTGTGCACGGGTCTCGCCAAACGTCTCTCTTTCCTGAAACATGCCCACCTCATTGCCACCTGAGCACACTTGCACTTGTCCTTTGGTCTGCCTAGAGTGTTATTTTCCCAGATCTCCTCTTGCCTGGCTTATTCTGGTCATTGGAATCTCAGACCAAATGACACGTTCACAGAAAAGCCATTGACTCGCTGGTACCCCAACCAGCTACTCTCTCCCAGCACCCTGCTTTACAGTCTTCGTAACAGGTGGTATCTTACCCATGTTCTTTCAGACCTGCTGGGCTTTTATATACACTTCATCAAAGTGAACTAATTTTCTATAGAGAACTTTGATTACACAGAAATTTTTGTTATTCTGCAATTAGTAGGGCTGTTATTTCAGTAAGTGATTCAACTATAAACAATTTGAACCAAAAGTGTAAGATGTCCACACACAAAAAAAGAACAGCTAAGCTCCTCTTTATTCTATGTGAATGTTTTTAGGGGCAGCAGCTGACACCACGCCACACCATTTAGACTGGGAGCCTCCCCGGTGGTTGGGTGGGTGGTTGGTTGGCTTTTTGCAACAAGATCACTGTAGAATTCAGACTCTAGCCTCAACCAACCCCTGTACTTTCCTAACTTATTTTTCTAGCTCCTCATTGTCTCCAGCAAAATCAAAGGAGTCTTCTTTATCTCAGATTGGTAGATTTTCAAAAGAATACTTACTTCCTTTCCATCACTTGCATCCTGGAGTTTTCAACTACTTTATTCTTGCTCCCAGACAATTTACTTGCCATTTTATTCTTCAACTCATTTTTAATCAAGAAAATATGAAGACAAGGTCAGAGAGAGTATGAGACTCACCTGTTTTTAAAGGCATTTTAGAAAATCAGGTTCAAGGTTACTCCAGAAAATACTGAATTCCCATGTGAAGGTAGCATGGACGTACATGAAATAGACATTTTGGAGCACATGAGAACATCCTCCTGTGGCTGTAAAGTAAAGTGAGGGTATGGAATGACATGTTGGTGAGCTGCTTTAGAACCTTGAAATTTCCACACTGGCTAACCTGGGTAAGATTTCTTTTTTTTTTTTTTGACTTTAGGAAAGTACTTTCAACACAAAGGAAAAGCTGGCAAGCTAGATAATTTGAAAATCTATTTTTCCCCTCATTTCCAATTCACAAACTCCTACTCTCTGTGTTTTGATAATTCAGGAAAAGGATATTGTATTCTTAGCAAGGTAAATCCTTATTCCTAGTACATCTCTACTCCTAAGTCACCTGAACAAGTTTTTCTTTTGTTTGTTTGTTTTTACCATTGGCACAAGCTCTGTTGTAAGCTAGCATGCCTTAAAGCATCTCAGGAAAGCATGGGCCTTGAGTGAATGATGAGCACTTGCCTTGTCCTTTCAGGAAGCCAGAGGGCCATCTTTAAGCAGGCCATGAGACACTGGGAGAAGCACACCTGTGTGACCTTCATAGAGAGGACGGATGAAGAAAGCTTTATTGTGTTCAGTTACAGAACCTGTGGGTAAGTAAGCAAAAGCTAGGCTGCCTCCATGGAATCAGATGCAGACAAAGCGAATGGCTTATGAGTCTTGAAGTTTCTCTATGGAACCAAGTGTTTCCAATGAACTATAATACACAGGAGCCCAGGGTTTTTCAGAAACTCCCCTTGCCCTCAGTGATCTTACAGTCCAGTGATAAAGTAGGTGGGGCAAGAGGGAGACCAGGAGCCTGGTGCCCTGCCATGGGGGCAGTTGGAAGGGTTGGGGGTGGTTCCTGTGGAGAAGTGGTTCTCAACCAGTTTGGCCTCAGGGACCCGGCTGAGAATCTGACGGGCTCCCTTACTTGCAAAATTCTGCATGTAATCATTATGATTTCCTCAGAAAAACAGAACAAATAACGAGATAACTGGTGATGCCTAAACGTATCTGTTACACCTCTAAATGTGTTTTCTAAACGGGGTAAATATACTCTGTTACTGACAAAAGTTTCCCGTATTGGCTCAAAAACTCAAACCTAACCACATGCTGTATAAATGCAATAACTGCCGAAGAAAACGACGCAGAAAGGAGTATAAAAGAAAAGAAGGCACACAGGCAAACGCTCACAAAAAGAAAGCTGGGATCACAATTTTTGTTATAGATAAAGCATTTTTTGTTTTGTTTATAAGGTGTTAAAAAAAAGGTGAGGCACTTTATAATGAGAAAGGGCACAAGCTCCGGTGAGAATATAACTGTCATAAATCTTTATGTACCAAATAGCAGAGCATTAAGAGTCATAAAATAAGCCCCAGGGAGTTCAAGGGGGAAATTGACAGAAACACCAGCAACAGGAGACTTTATTTCATTTCTGTCAATGCACATAGATCATTGTCACGTTGACCAAAAACATAAGCAGAGATTTGCAGAGAATTAGGAAAATGTGATTAATTAGAGTTGATCCTGTGGGTGTATCGGGTTCTGTAACCTGGTACCACAGCCTTTTTTAAAGTGGCTATTGAACTTTCATTGACATCGCCCATCTATTTAGTGCTAAGGACACCTCAGTGAGTTCTGAAAGGCAGACATCACATTAAAACATTCTCTAATCACAAAGCAATGAAACTGGCCAAAGTAACTTAATAAAAATAAAATAAAAGAAATACTCCTGCATTACCTGGTAAGTTAAAAGTTCCCTCTCTCTCTCTAAACAACTCTCTAGTCATAAAGAAATTAGAATTAAAATTACAAGCCGTCCAGATAATGAAAGCCTACAGTTCAGCATTAAAGAGATATGGCTAAAGCTATGCCCAGAGGGAAACCCATAGCCTCCAACATCCACAGCACTCATTAATTAAGAATGACGAGGAAATATTCCAAGAAGTGAGCAAAATAAATAAGTACGTAAAGCTTACTATACCACAACAAAATGAACCTAATAAGAGCACAAGAAAATAGACAAAGTATAACATGTTATAGAACTAATAAATTGAAGAGCGAATTTTTGAATAAAATAAAAAAAATACTAGAGTTAAACTGCTTCTTAGTCTCAGCCAAAAATAAATAAAAAGTGACAGTGCAGAAATATTCAAAATCGGAAATGAAAAAGGAGGATTCAGCAGAGGCTTAAGAGAACACCCTGCAGAACTCTAGAGCAAGAATTGTGGAAATCGGGATAATGTGAATGACTTCCAGATAACTATAAAGTGCTGGCCCAGATCAGTGACTTTGGAAAAAAAGTTGAAAAATTGGGGGGAAATACTCTCTCCCTCAAAGCACCAAATCTAGAGTTTCACAGATGAATTCTTTGAAACCTTCCCAAAATAGATTATTCTGGTACTATTTAAGCTTTTTAGTGCATAGAAAAAGAACACCCTTCCAAATTACATTTCAGGAACTATCATGGCATTGCCACCCCAAAATGACAAAGATGGCACCAAAAGAGAGGAAATTGTAGACTCAGCCAACATACATGGTGATGCCAAATCCTAACTGAAACGTCAGCCCAGAGCAGTCAGCAGTGTGAGACTAGGAGAGGGGCTGCAAGGAAGGCATGTCTAAGGAATGCAAGGCTGGTTCAACATCAGGAAATCCATTTGTGAGATTCACCATATTGATCAAAGGGAAGAAGCCATATTCCTTTCTCGATAGATGCTGAGGAGGCATCTGCCCAAGTTAACATACTTTTTTAAAAAAGTAGCCAAGGTAGCACAAGAATAGATGTCAAGGATAGATCCTTGACTTCATACATATGTATAATCTGCATGGTGAGATTATGGCCCTTCTAACTTCTTGTTTTATACCTTTCTAAGTTAGGAATAATGAATAAGTAATAGGGACCAGAAGGCGAGCCATCCTTAAGGCTTCTCTGATAATAGCACCAAGATGCATCTTTAGAGAAATGCAGCCATCTTCTCTCCTTGTTATCAGTGGCGATCAGGCAGAGACTCGGGGTGGAAGGGTGGGGAAGGGTGTGTGCTTTATTCCAGGAGGAGAGGCCATATCTTTCTTCAGATTCTCAAGTGGATCTTGACCACCAGAAAGGTCAAGAACCTCAGGAGGTAACTTCTGTATTGGGAGGAAAGTTGGGCAGTGAGCGAGCACCAGGCTCCAAAATTGTGTTTCTTTTAGACACACACACACGTGCGCACAGATGACTGTTGCTGTTCCCTGACCCGCTGACCTGGGTGTTTCTGCATTTTCTAGCTGTTGCTCCTATGTTGGGCGCCGAGGAGGAGGCCCACAGGCCATATCCATTGGGAAAAACTGTGACAAGTTCGGCATTGTGGCTCATGAGCTGGGCCACGTGGTTGGGTTCTGGCATGAACACACCCGGCCAGACAGAGATCAGCATGTCACCATCATCAGAGAAAACATCCAGCCAGGTGAGGAGCCTGTGTGGGGTCTAGAAGTTAAAGGCCAGGAAGGTGGCATCCTGGGGGTGGGGGTGGGGTCAGGCAGGAGGGCAGGAGAGGGGTTGCCAGGAGCTGACAAACACTCATCTGTAAGTATTGAGACAGTGACTGCCGTGCAGGTGCTTGTCACCAGCCTGTCCCTGTCCATCTCCCATAGCTTGTAGGTTAGAACAGAAGTAATATGACTTTCCATGTTGTGAAGAACAATGACACCCAACTCCGTTTCCTGAAAGGAACAGAATTGACCGGAACACTGCTACAGCATCAAAGCCGCTAAGCCAGAAAAAGAGCTCTCCTGGTTGCTTTCCTAAGTCAGTTTTCCTGGCTTAGGCAACACATCTTCTTGAAACTCAGATACAATTAGGACACGAGTACATATGAAAAACAATGTTTCTGCCTAGAAGCATTCTGCCCTAAGACAGATAAATTGTCCAGATTCGAAAAAATGTCTTCTCATATTAAATGAGTTTATATAGCAATTCATATTGACTGTGAAAGTATCTGGTGGAATAATTGGTTGCCTTGAAAATGCTTTTAGGAGTCTGAATTGTGAGCTATTTGGGGTTGAACTGATCTCTGACTTTCTTTTGTTTCTTTAATAGCAAGACCAGAGTTTTATTGGTTTTTTTTTCCTCCAATCAAATTGATAACTAACCTGTCTGCAGACTTAGTTTGAGTTTGGAGTGGCATTTGGGGATGGGTGTGGGGGTTGGGAGAACATAGGGCTTATTATAAGTTCCAAATTTCCGATCTTGAAAACAGCGACCAGAACCACACGGACCGGGTTTGGAGACGGAGAGAACTAACCGGAAGTTGCTATGGGTTCGCCTCCCCCTCCCCGCTCCGCCCCATTTTAGGTGCCTGCGCTGTTTTCAAAGGCCTTAACGGAGTGTTGTGTCACAGGTCAGGAGTATAATTTCTTAAAAATGGAAGCTGGGGAAGTGAGCTCTCTGGGAGAGACGTACGACTTTGACAGCATCATGCACTACGCCCGGAACACCTTCTCAAGGTTGGAATCTCTGCTTTTGCCTCCTGTGTGTTTTACTGTGCCTGCTGCAGGCTCGGGCCGGGTTGCGGGAGGTCTGCAGAGAGTGGGTCTCCGCATGCTCCTAGCACAGTCGGTGTGCCTGTCCTTGAAATACAGTGGCCTCTGGGCTGCAGTGAAATATAATCTAATCAGGTTCCCGCTAATAAGATTGAATCCCACTGTGAAGCTGGTATTCCATCACGCCTTAGTGTCACACGCAGCGACTGGAAAAGGGACGTTACTGAGAGAGTGGCTGTGATAATAACTAGAGGCTGTGTGTCAAATTTCCAGGGGGTGGGGGGATCTTCGGAAGCACGTCCTTGAAGTGGGCACGGTGGCCGTTTACCAGTTTTCCTAAAGAAGGTGTGGTTTATTGAGAGCTAGTTCGCGTCAGAGCTGGGAGGGCGCTGGATCACCGGTTCATTTCAGAGGTGAGGAAATTGAGGCTCCAGCCATCTGGGGGACACAGGCAGCTGGGGCTGGAGGGAGAACAAAGGTCCAGGTCTTCTGCCTGCTGCTCACACACAATGGTAGTGGGAACCCCAAGAACGACTGGATCCATTACTTAGGGCCCCCATCGGCAGGACCTGTTTTGCAGAGTTAGTGTTGTGCCGGACCAGGTGTTAACTATTTTCGGTACCGCCCTTACTTCTAGACCACACAAACATTTTGTATAAAGAGCTTTTCCTCTGCTAGTCTCAGTGTTGTAGGTCTTCCCAACCTTGAGTTAAAGGAGACACTGTGCACATACTTTCTTCCTCCTGGTACTTTTTCAGTCTCCTCTTAAAACTAGGTAGTTTCCTACTTATTTATTTAATCATTAAAAAAAGATTTGAGGTGATTCACAATGTATACATAGGACAAAAAGAAAAAATAGGTGAGGAAATTTGAGTTGGGGGGAGGGAAAAATAAGGGTAGATAGCTCTGTTGAAGTTTGGAATCAATTTGATATTCAGGTTATACACCGGTGAAGTCCTGTCAGTGAATGCTGCCCTGGGCTTCCTAGCAGTCACAGCAAAGAGGGAAACAATTCATTTATGAGTCACCATGTCCACAGAGATCAAAGAACATCATTCATGCAGGAGACACAGTCCCTGGGAGGGAGAGGGAAGCTGTTTATTTACCCCAGGGCTCCAGGATGAGACTACTGAAACCATTCTGTTGGTGGCATCGTGGATGTGTGGAAACGACCCTCCAAACCTCAGTGGCCCCAGTTCTCAGGGGGCACTGTTCCTCTGGCCACACAGCTAATTTAGTATGGTCTCCATCCTGCACCCAGGTGGGAGCTGTAATGGGCAGAGTTTGGTCTAACTCAGCATCTTTGAACAAGTGGCATAGAAGTGAGCTACCCTGTTCTTTTTACTCTTGTCTGAGCTCTTTATCAGGAGATACAATGGGCAACGTGGTGTAATAAAGAGATTGCTGAACTGAGAGTCGGAAGACGGGGTCCTAGTCCTGGTTCTCACAGGGACCTTGGCATTGAGGAAGGTGTAGATAGTACATTGGGGCAGCTGTGTGCTGGGTCAAATCTCCACCTCCCTGGCCTCAGTTTCCTCCTGGGAGGGTTGGACTACATGTTCTCTGAGCTGTTTCCTGCTCAAAAATTTCAGGTTTTGATTTCTTAATCTGGACAGATGGGTGAAGGATTGACAGATATGATCGCATTCATTGCCATATGGAGATCTGAGGCTTCCTTCTCCAGGTGGGGAAACTGAGAGTTTGAGGGACCTACTCTGGGGGCAGGGAGAGTCTGAGGAAGCCAGTGGGCTGGGCAGGAGAGAGACCTCCTGCAGAGGTCAGAGTTGGGGTGGGGCGGCTTGGGTGTTGGGAAATAGTGGGGGAACATTTGGGTTACGCCCCATCAGCGCCAGGAGCTACAGGCTGCTGAGTGGAGAGAAAGCATCGCTTTCATGAGGGGACCAGTGTCAAGTTGGTCCACGTGAGAAGCTGGTAACTTGGGTGTTGTTTCTGTAGCTGTCACAACTTGTTATTGCTTTATAATTTATCCATTAATTATTATTGTAAATTTATCTATTAATACTTCTCTGTTGCATTTCCCTCTCCCTCACTAGGCTGAGATCTTTGAGGACAAAGACTATCTCATTCTTTTCTAATCCCCAGCACTCAACATGGGGCCTGGCACAGAGTAGGTGTTCAGTAAAAATTTTTTATTTTAATTTTTTAATCCTTGCCTGAGGATGCATTTATTGATTTTAGAGAGAGGAAGGAAGAGAGAGAGAGAGAGAGAAACGTTGATATGGGAGAAACATCAACCGGTTGCCTTCCATATATGCCCCGACTAGGGATCGAACCTGCAACCGAGGTATGTGCCCTGACCAGGGATTGAACCCATGACTTTTCAGTGCATGGGACGATGCTCCATTCAACCGAGCCACAGTGGCCATGGCAGTGTTCAATAAATATTTTTTAATGGATAAATTAATGAGTAAGTCCAAGGAGTTGGGAGTGCAGTACTGGGGACGAGGTGAGGGAAGGAATTTCCATTACTCTCACTGCAGTTCTTCCTACATACTCACAAATGCAGTGGTTACTGCGTTAAGAAGCTACAAGTATCTGCTGTGTAGGGTATTTGGGATAAATTACTACCAATGTGTTATAGGAACTACACTTCCTTCTCAGTGTCTGCTGAGCACCAGTTACTATGCAAATCTCTGAAGCCAGAGGCCAAAGCAAGAGTGCAGACAGAGTATCTTCTGGCTCCAGCATTTCTTTTCTGTCTGTCTTTTAAAAAATCTTCCTCTCTTTCCCCCTCTGATCTCTAGCTCATAACGCCAGCCCTCTTGCCTTCAGGAGATACACACTATTAACACTGTTGTCTGTGTGAAAACATTTTGTCTGCGTAGGTCAGTGGAGCCCAGGGACTAAACCCGTGAAATAACAGTTCCTCTTCCCAAGTGCCCAGGACCCCTCGGAAGGATACTGGCAAGGAGGCAGCACAGGGTGGACGGGCAGATGCGTAGGAGCAGAGCAGCTTCCCTGCAGGCACCGGAAGGAGGAAGACTTCCCTTCCGCTACCATGCTGTTATCTACAGTTGCAGCACAATCTACACCCCACCCCCAACTTAGCACCTTACAACAACTTATTTTTTATGATATTGTGGGTCATTTGACAGTGTGATTAGGTTGGGTGATGGCCAGTGCCGTGTCTGGTCATTGTGTTGCCTGCCCACCAGCAGCCCTTGGTTCTCCTCTGTGTGGCCTCTCATCCTCCAGTGGGCTAGACTGGGCTTCCCACTCCATTGGAATTTAGAGTGCCAGTAGAGGACAGGTTGGCAGGCTGCAAGACTCTTTAGACCCAGGCTCTAGAACTTGCATGGCAGGGCTTCCGTCACATTTTATTGGCTGAAACAAATCACAAAGCCAGTGCCAATTTGAGTTATGGAGAAGTAGATTCAACCTCTTAGTGTGGGGGGTGGCAACTTCCCATTGCAAAGGGATGTGGATATTAGGAGGTGTAATTCATTATTTTAACAATCTACCACAACTACCTTCTCTACCTCTGCTCCAGAGTTCAGGATGGTTTTGGCAAATCTCTTTCATAGCGAGTAGACACCTGCATTGTCCCATCTGCAACTGTCTGCATGGATTTTCAGAAAACTACTCTGTTTAGTGGGATGTTTTTCAATGGCCTCCTGACTGGTAGGTTTTCCTGGCCCACTTTTTATGAAACGTTTCCCACTCCTTAACTCCATGTCATTACTTCTGCTCACATGTCCCCCGCAGCTGGCCTGCACATTGTCTTTGATTCTGTAGAAGAGCAGAAAACGGCCCATAGGACATTGACTCATCTGGAGGCAAGTGCTGTTCCCTCTGATGGGAAACCTAATCTTCAAGAGTCTCTATGGCTGAGCTGTCCCTTTCCAACTTTATTCCCTCGAGTTTATTGCAGCTCCTCCCCGCCCCTTGGTGGGCCCTGGGCTGAGGGCAGTGGTGTCTTTGAATGACTCACTGGGCGAGGGTCCAGGAGATGAGGAGACGGCTCTCCGGTACAGTGTCGTCTTTGTTTCGAGAACTCGGAGCTGACAGTTTTATTCCCTACGGCATCTGCCAAACCCTTTCTTGGTTTAGCAGAATGTCAATTCTAAGTTGTCCTACATAAAAGCAGGGACATTACTACAGTGGTTTACACAGGGGACGTCTCTGGTAGTAAACATCTTCCAGAACCCACCGCCTTGCTGGCGGCTCAGGATGTGCTGGGTTGGGGGAGGGAGCCCGGCCCCAAAGAGCCGTGTGAGTGTGATCCCTCATGCTGTTCCCGCTGCTTTGAAGTCACCAGCGTTCCTAACTCTCTCATCTTTCTAATCCGCATGAAGCCTGCTCTGTCTTGGGCAGTGGGAAACACTGGTTGGAAGATGCCAGGAGGCAGGCCCCGGGCTGGCCTGGGCTCCAGGGCTGGGTCTCCATGACTAGTTCTGTAACCAGGGTGAGTCATGTAAGCTCTGCGGGCTTGCTTTTCTCACCCGTAGCAAGGAACCCTGCTAATAATGTCACTTGCTCCCTCAAGTGTTATGAGGATGAGATGCGGTGGCGCCCGTCAAGTGTCCAGCAGGGACCTGGCATATAGGAAGGTGGCCGACACGGTGTGGTCATCAGCAGGGTCAGCTAGTCCAGACTGCTAAGAGCTTGTGGAGAGCCTTGCATTTTGTGCAGCTAGATGTCTGTTTTCAGCAGAATCAAGAAAATAAGTGCAAACGAACACATTTTCTATTAGGGCAGAAGCACCCATTTTTCGATTAGTAGGTGATTAATTTTGGAATGTTATGTGGAGTTGTCCCTTGTGATTTAACACTTGGTGAGATCAGTGAGGGACATCAAGGATTCCGATAAAGTTTCTCTAGCAGACTCTGGAGCCACAGACGAGGCGGTGGGAGTTAGAGACCTTAGGATGGGTGACTAATTAAGTGTCGGCGATAGTGGTACTATAAAGGATATCATCAGCAGATGACCAGGGGTCCTGTGCACTGATGTTGGGAAGAAAGTGACCTTAAAGTCTCATTTGGAAAAAAATGTACATAGAAAAACAAAAAGGGAGAGACAGGGATGATATATATTCTCCAAGGTAGTGCAGAATTTAGGGAAAAGGAAATGTTTGAAAGAAAAGAGAGAGGGCAGCTAATAACTAGGTAATGAGAATTTTTGCATTTCCTTATGGGTGTAGATAACTATTTTGTGAAATCTTTCGAAGACTGTCCTATGTTGGCTGTGTAATGTAGTTCTAGAACCTTTTCTCCAGGTCTGCTACATTCCTGCCCACGAGGACACAGAGATGAAGGAATCCAGTCTCTCTGCTGGAGGAACTTGGTAGTTAGCAGAGAAACCAATTACTGTCACCCCTCAAAAAAGACCATACAATATGATAAGAAGAGACCAGACGAGGAAGGCCCAGAAGAAGGCATGGTTAACTCAGGATAGACAGGGCTCGGAAGACTTTTACAAGGGAAGGCCATCTGACAGGGTTTGGGGACAGGAAGATGGGTGGTGGGCAGCTTTAGCAGAAGACAGCTTGTGGGCCATGGGCCATGTTGGGGGTTAGCAGGGGTTCAGTGTTGCTTAAGATCATGAGCGAGGTGGAGTTGTCAGGAGATGTGGCTGAAGAAGAAGGCAGAAGCAGTGAGCCAAGGGCCGGGAGATCCAGGTGGTGATCTGCAGTCAGTGAAGGATTCTAAGCAGGGAGGGCACACTCCTGTCCTGGCGTTTCTCAGTGATCATATTGCAGCAGTGTGGGGGGCTAGATTAGAGGTGGCTGAGTCTACGGGGAGGGAGACAGATGAGAAGCTACTGGGAAGGGTTCAGGAAGGGGGGTGCCGATTGCCCGAGCTAAGGCGGTGGTCTAGAACGAGAAGGAAGGCGCAGATTCAAGGCACGAGTAGAAGGTGCTGTGGACAGGACCTGGTTCCTCATTTTTACAAGGGAGTATGAGAGACTGGGCTTCAGTCTCAAGAGACAAGGCTCATGGAAGGAGAAGAATGGGGTACATTTGGTTTTGAATGCGTTGGATGTAAGAGGCCCATAGGACAGTCCAGTGGAAGGGTCACCAGGCCCTTGCAGGTGGCTGTGGGGCTGTGAGCCTGTAGGTGGTGGTTAAAGCCCAGAGGAGCAGATGGGGCAAGAGCAAGGAGGGAAAAGAGACGGGGCAGAAACCCGAGAGACAGCACTGCCAGGGGAAGCAGGAGAAGAGGATCCTAACTTTCTGCTCAGAGAGGGCAGTGCCCTGGGACCCAGGGGGGGGGAGAGTCCGAGGAAGGAGGGGACAGCTGTAGAGAAGGCAGGTGAGGATTGACAAGTGTCCATCGGAGTTGCAGTTGGTCAGTGACTAAGGACTGTTGCAGTGTGGCCAGGTCAAAATCGGGTTAAGGCGAGCAGGCAGACAGAAAATGGAGATAGTTCTTCCCGGAAAGTTGGTTAAGAAGGGAAGGAAAGGCACAGGGCGGTAACTGGAGAAGGAGCCTGTTCAAGGGAAGGCTCTCCCTCCGAGAAGCCCCAAGTCAGGGGGCTGGAAGCAGAGGGGCAGGCTCGGGCAGAGGGTATACCACGCCCACAACACGGAGCTGTGCTTAGGGCTCGCACTCAGCTGGGCGTCCTGGGCGTCACTTGTCTGTTTTGGTCATTTGAGGCTTTCTTTGCATTGGAGTAGAAGAAGACATTAAAGTTAGAAGGGACTGAACGTCACGACCATTAGACCAACCTCTGTTGTTCAGAGGAGCAAACTGAGGCTCTCTGAAGAGAGGGGAAGGGACTTGTCCCAGCTCACTCAGGTGGCAGAGCCAGGCCGCACATAGGAATCTGTAGGTCAGGCCTCTCTCGACTACCCCTAGTTCTCCGCATTCATCCCATTTTCCATCTGAGTATTCCTCTTGCCGGCAAGGCCCCCAGCTCCAATCCCTGTTATTCACCGACTCATCTAGCACTTCCCCACCAGCTTCTGACAGACAGCCTCACAGGCCTGATTCCCATGTTCTCTCTGGAGCTTCTCTAACACTTATCCATGCGCAGTACTGCCTGTTGCACAACTCCAGGGGGTGCCACTCACATCGTAGTCTCTCTGAATGGTGCTCCCTGCAGTTTTTCCAGCACGGTGGCCCTGGGGCCTGGACCTGTCAAGGCTGCTTTGTGGAAATGCTCAATAGACATTAGTAAGGAAGCCCTTAGGCCACTGGGCCAGGGCATATTTTTAAACCTGACAGAATCATTTTCCTATTGGAAAGTGAGCATGCAGCTGATGAAATGGAATGCTCAAATGCCAGCATGAGAGCCGGCCAGCGGGTAGGAATGTTGACGGGGTTATGGGCAAGGAAATGAAGACTGTAAATCCCAGCGTGGATGGCCTGACAGCCTTGACTTTTCTTTCTCCTTTCTCTTGCTGTCTTTTCTGCCTGTAGAGGAGTTTTCTTAGACACTATCCTCCCCCGTCGAGATGACAATGGCGTCAGGCCAACCATCGGCCAGCGTGTGCGGCTCAGCCAGGGAGACATAGCTCAAGCCAGGAAGCTGTACAAGTGCCCAGGTAACTGGCCCCTGGCGAGTCCCGAGGCCCCCAGCAAGCCCTGGGAGCAGGTTCACCTGCCCTTCGCAAACATTCCCGTTGGCTGGAAAGACAGCTTGGAGAACCTGAAGAGCCGACCCGCTGGCAGCCGTGATTTCTGATGTGCTGCTGTTAGGAGGTGTTAGATGGTGTAGGAGGCCCAAATGGTGAAGTGATTGCCACAGGGAAGTGAATGGTGGGTCTTGGAGCCCACACCTTAACTTGCGGGAAGCTGCAGAACTCTGTCAGGAGGTTCAAAGGGGGAAGAATGCACAGTAGAACAACAGTGTGCCCCAAATGGCAAAAACACCTCTCCTTTCTATGGGAGTAAGGGATGTATTTTGGCAAAACAAGAGGCCAGGCGTTTGCAGGAAGATGAAGAATGAAGGTGAGTGCTTTTGCAGGGGTGGGAGTCAGCCTCCCGAACAGTGGGAGGTAGAAGGAGCCTCAGTACTGCAAATGAGGTCTCTTCTGTGGTCTTGGGGCTCCTCTAGTCCCTCGAGGCGCCAGTCAGTGGCCACCAGCCTGCTACTGAAACCTGGACAGTGCCCGGGGTCTGAGCAGATGCCCACTTCTCTGTCCGTTCAGAGAACTGCTCCCCCCGAATTTGCCCTCTTTTTGCCTTTTGTTCCCCTTGACTTCAGCATCATCACACCCCCTGCTGCCCTGGGGGTGAGCTCACATCCACCCCTTTAAGCTGCTGAACTGTCATGCAGAGCATTGAGTGCAGCAGCCAAGTTTTTACCACCAGCAGGACAGAATGCATTTCAGCATTTGGGGCAGAAAAAGGAAACTCCATTACCAACAGGTCCAGTAACCTTTTTTTTTTTTTTAAAGATTTTATTTATTTTGTTTTAGAAAGAGGGAAAGGGAGGGAGAAAGAGAAGGAGAGAAACATCAATCAGTTGCTTCTTACACACCCCCAACTGGGCCCACAACCCAGGCATGTGCTCTGACCAGGAATCGAACCTGTGACCTTCCAGTTCACAGGCCAGCGCTCAATCCACTGAGCCACACCAGCCAGGGCTCCAGCAACCTTTTTAAACCCCTAAACCAGGCACACAGTTTGATCATAGGACAGAATATTTGAAGTAGGGGCCATCTTAGAATGTCTGGGTTGTCACCTCGTCCTGCTCAGTGGGCTCTCAGGGCCTTCAAAGGGCTGTGTGAGGCTCCCCTCCATCATGGACCTCTAGGAAATGCGTCCATCCAGCTATTAGTCATCTGGGGGCGCGTTAGGGCTGCAGTACAGGACACACATATCATATAACCTTGCTGAATTGAAAGAGAAACCTTATAGCATTCCCTGGGAAATGCCATAGTATTTATTTAGTTATAATGTCTATGCCTCTTACTTCCCAAAAGGATTCGAGGCAGCTGGTAAATACCACAGGGCCATACACTAACCTATCTGTTCCTGCAGAATGTTGATGATAATTCTGAAATAATTTCCATGGAACCCTCGGGGGTGTTGACTGCCAGGCATAATCCTCATGATGCCTGGCAGTTGTTCGGTAACACGATATGGAAGCCCTGATATCCAGGATTTCCTGAGGCCGAGGATGGGCCACTCTCCAGCTACCCCTTCCTGCATCTCCAAAGACTGCAGCTCCCAGTGATTTGCAGTAGTAGCTGAAAGGGAGGGTAGTTGCTGTGAAGAGCTGGAATTGCACTCAGGAAAATATGCATAAGGATGCTTCTTTCCCACATTTTGGGGGTGGCCCTGTAAGAGAAGGGGTCCCCAGCAACCTTGTGTCTTTGTCTTTGGGGCTCAAGTCCCTGGGAGTCAGGGGCATATGAAACCTGCAGTTTCCAAGCTTCTTCACACAGGTGTGAGGACAAATTAGGGAAATATTTTTCACAGACATAATACTAGGTTTTAGACTCATGGCCCAGCAACCCTCGGACATTCATGGCCAGGATAGCTTCTTATAGAGTATTCCAGCTTCCTGTGCCTCTGGTCATTTTTCTGTTTTCTTGGCTATTTGGTAGCTCATTCAGAGGCAGGCAGCAGAAAAAGAAGAGTCAAGATTCAAACTGACAGCTGATTATGAGTTTCAAAGCATTTTTCCTCTTTGTGTTACTGACTTGGGCTTTCACATTCTCTCTGCCACAGAGACTGCTGTTGGTGATTGTGAGGCTACTACATGGGGAGCACTTACCAAGGGCCGAGCACTGAGCTGATCCATTTTATGTAGTGCAGGTGATTTCATTAACCTTCTGGGCAGGTCCCACCCATTTAACAGATAAGAAAACTAAGGCACCACCACACAGGCTTCTGGAGAGCTAAGATTCAAACCTGACTCTAGGCCCTGCTCAATCCTGAGAGCCTCAGAAGAACCCGTGGGGTGTTTCTTTTTGGTGCCCAGACCCTATTTTTACTTTTATAAAACCAGGAAATTATCAGCCAGCCTGGCACAGTTCTCACCATTTGTTCTAAAGGCTGAGGCTAGTTCAGGGGAGTGTTTGCTCAGCAGCCCTGTAGAGGGCGCTCTCAGGTGGGGAGTATGTGCATGTGCCTGAATCATGATTGCCGTTTTGTTTGTGCAGCTTGTGGGGAGACTCTGCAGGACACAACGGGAAACTTCTCTGCACCTGGCTTTCCAAACGGCTACCCTTCTTATTCCCATTGCGTTTGGAGGATATCAGTCACTCCAGGGGAAAAGGTAGGTGCGGGACAACCTCTGGAAATGATGTAACATTCTTTGAGTGGGGTGACTGACATGTCAGGAGCTATTATTAATAGGAGTAATAACAACTATTATGTTGCAGGCACCTACTCTGCGCCAGGCACATACTACTAGCTTGCTTAATGTTATTTCCTTCTGGATTTTTCAGCCAGCCTCCCTCAGGCAAAGGGAAGCCTGGGTACTAAATGTCCACATGAGTTATTCATCAGGCTCACAGTCTGTAAACAAAGTAGGTGTTATCCTCCTTCCTCAATAAACACACTGTCAGAATGCCCTGGGAGGCGAGGATCCAGTTTAGAATTTCTGGGCACCTTGGAGTGCTGCTCTGGCAGGTGGCAATGCGGGTCGAGCTGGCTACCAACCCACAGCTGGCCTCTCCTCCTCTCAGCCCCAGTGCTGTCTCAGGAGCTCCCATGGTGACCCCTCAGCCCGCACTCCTGAACACCCTCTACTCCTGCCTCACAAACAGCCATTGCTCGGCCGCCCCTCCAGGGAAAGTGGACTGCCTCGGTGTGCTGCTGCCCTCAGGAGGAGAGATTCAGGACGGAGGTCCTTGCATGTCCTGGAAATGGGCTATTTGGGCCGGGAATGCCAGGGTTCTGGGCTCCTGGTGGGAAGTCTGGAAGCCGGGCAGGCTCTGGGTAGGCTTGTTCCTTTGGCCCTGAAGATTCCACAACTCTTGAGAGCCACGCCCAGGGGAGGGGCTCCTTTTGCTCTTGTCCAAGGGGAGTGTGTTCTCGCAGCTACTGGAACTTGGTGCACTTCCTTCTATCCATCACGTGAACAAGGAATCTAAGGCTTGGGCATTTCGTAAATTGTCTGAATTCACAGTAAGCTACGGAACTGAGAACTGGGGCTTCTGCAGTTTGAGACCTGTGTTTTCTTCACCACACCTCTCAGCGGACCCAGCAGCTCGTCAAGTTGTCTCAGAACAGAGGCAGCTGCTTTTAAAATGTTTGCTCCGCCCTCTGGTTCTGCCTCCCTACAGCTGCACTTGTTGTGGCTCATCCCACAAATCATGACGCTGGTTTATGTGGCTGTTCCTCTTCTGGACTCACTGAGGACACAGTCTCTGGCACAGAGCCACCCAATAAGTATTTGTTGAATGGACATGTGGACAAAGGCGTGGTGGAGTGAAAAACAAGCAGTGGGCGTGCAGTGAGAGGTGCTGGAATTTTTCAGGTGCCCATAGCCAACTTTCAGGTTTCCGTTTAAATGTCAATCTAAACACAGTGTGATAGCTAGGAAAAAATAATGGCTAGGAACCAGTGGGAGCATTTTCCATGGGCTGGGTACTGCTTTTAGCATATGTTGTGGATTCTCTCATTTTATCCTCACAAATGACTTTATGTAACAGGTGCTATCACCATACTCATTTTGCAGATAAGGAAATGGACTTGTCCAAGGCTATTCAGTTCGTTGCAGAGTTGGGATTTGAGCCCAGGCAGTTGGATTCTGCCAGCCTCTGCTTAACCATCATCCTATGTTATTCCACAAAAGGAACTAGACATTTGAACATGCATTCATACACACACACACAAATTCATACATGCACACGTGAACAATACCCATATGTACACACCCTTCTCTAGCTGTAAGCATTTATGACAGGGCAGTTGTTATCTTGAGCCTGAGAGACTCTAGATTTGTCCACCTTGGGTGGATGTCCCATTCCTGCGCCTGCAGGAGGTGGCATGAGAGGGAGGCAGGGACATGGAGGAGAAACAAGAAGGGGTCTGCTAGTCCCCAAACCGTTGGATTGCCCTGCATAGCAGAGGCCCTGCAATGTGTTTGAACTGTGTAAGAGTTCACCCAGCCTTAATTATTATTGCCGGCTGGGGGCAGGGAGAACACTATCACTGAAATTCCTGCACCCGTTATTTCCATTTCTGCTTCACTCAGGCTTCCCCAGAGCTGCTGGTAATTAGCGAACTTGATGGATTTGCATTATCACCTCCCGTTCGTCACCTCTTCCCCTATGATCTTTATGGCTCACTAAGATACTTAAAATAATTAGCCTGAATAATTATCCCATTCATTCAGATCATGAATGTGTTACCAAGGAATTTGTAATCATATTGCCTTTCTGAAATTTTAAAAAGCAAAGGCTAAAGAACTATATTGCAACCAGCTAGCAAGCGTCCCTGAACCAGTCCATGTGGGTGTGAGCACTGAGGGGGATACGAGGGGTTAGAAGGCAGCGTTTCCCTGTTTAGGAGACTTAGAGTTTGGTCAGAGTCCCTCCCCTCCCCTCCTTATCCCTGGAGAGTCTGATTTAACTGAAGGAGGAGCATTATTTGGAACCAATATTTTTTTGTTTCTGAGGTGGTTCTAATGTGCAAGTAGAGTTGAAAAATGACTGGTCTGGTTTGAAAGAAGAGCAACATATCACACACACACACGCTCACACACACACTCACACTCTACAACATGGGAGGTGAGCTAGCCTATTATTTTCTAGTACTGACTCTTCATTTCCTATGAGACCTTAGTGCTTTGTGGAAGAAGGTGCCCCTTGTCTTGAAACCTGAACATTGGGTGGACTGGTCCCAAGGGAAGGGGTGGGGAGTCTCAATAAAGACAGGCAGCTTGCGAAGAGCACTTAGTGTGTCTGGTTTGTGGTACGCTAAGTGTGCACTCAGTGTGGCTTAGTTTTTAAAATTGCCATTTGTTGAGTAGCTATTGTGTGCCAGGTCCAGCCCTGGGCATTCTCTGTAGTGTCTTTTGCCGTCCCCTCCACAGCCCAGTGGTGTGCAGGTTGTTTTATAGAGGAGGAAACTAATGGTCCAGGAGCACAGTGGTATTTTCCCAAGATCCCACAGCTAGGGAGTGGTGGAGCTGGGAAGAAATCCAGATCTGCTGGACTCTAAAAACACCTGCTCGGGAATCACTACAACAAAGGAGGGGAGAGTTCCAAAGAGGGAAGGGTCGTGTGCAACTGGGCAATCAGAGAAGGACTCAGGGAGGCGGGAGGGGCCCCTGGAGCGGGGCCTGGGGAGGGTTCCATTTAAGTGATTGTATTAGGGCTCACGGGGAGATGGGGCCATGCATTAGGATGGGTGCTGGAGGCTCTGCAAGGTAGGCAGTGAGTTTGATTTATGAGATTGGGGCAGAGGGAGCCACTGAAGTTTTCTGAACAGAGGAGGGCTCTAGCAAACATGAGATAAAAGTGTAAGACTGATCTGGAAGCCCTAGTGTGCGGAGTAGACATGGGCACAGCAGGGAGGAGTTCAGGAGTCATCTCCGCAGGAGCAGTGTGGGAGGGGCTGTTGAAGGTGGCGAGAGTGGCTGGGAGCAGGGGGCACAGATCTTAAAGGATAAGAACCTGTCAGCACTGACCTAAACAGTAGGAGTTGCACCTGAGTGATGGGGGCAATGGCGTCACCTCCAGACAGGGAAGCTGGAAGGGAAGTGCTTTGTTTTGAGGCGGCCTCACAGTTTGTGGGGAATGGAGAGGACAAGAGCCATCAGAGGAGACAGTAGAGAGAGGACAGGCTAGTGTGGCAAAACCAGGGGGGAGAGGTTCCAAGTAGAGGGGCCACAGAGAACAAAGACAAATATGTTACAGTCTTCTCTGCTGGGCCAACAGGGCACCCAGCCTTGGACCCGCAGCCCTCCTGCCCATGGGTTTAGTTGGAGACCAGGGACCAGGCAGAGACTGTTTGCATATAAATGAAAGTGGGAGAGTGAAGATGCTAGAGAGACTTGAACCAACTGACAGAAAGGTCCCACAAGTGGGAAAAGGAAAAGGGTTGGGATGCAGGGGCTGGTGCAGGGCTGCCCTCAGCAGGACCCCGCAGAGCAAGAAGACCTGAGAAATGAAGGAGCTGGGACACGTGAGCACAGGCAGAGAGATGACCCGAGAGCTGGGGCCAGATGAGCCGCTTCGGCTCAGTGCGGGGAACGGCGTGGACACTGTGCACGTGGGAATGGAATGGGGTGCAGGGAGAGGGGAAATCCCGAACCGTCTTGGTCCTCTGCTGGGGGTCTCTGAGCTGGAAGAGTTGCCGTGGGGGCCAGTGCCAGCCTGTGGGTGCAGGCCCGTGTGCCGACTCTGCAGGGCCACCGGACCCCCTCCACTGGGTGGGGCAGGTGCATCCCCTGAATGGCCTCAGGGCGTCCAGGGAGCTGAAACCTTCCTTTCCAGTCCAGCTGAGCCCCCAGCTCCTCAGGCCTTGTTCCTTCTCTTCCTTCTTTCTGGCTCCTCATTCCAGACGCAGCACAGTGAACCAGGCTGGATGCAGCACAGTCTCCCAAACATGTCCTTGCCTTCGCTCATGTCAGTCCCTCTCATGAAAATGCTTTCACCCTACTTCTCTGTCCCCTGGACCCTTGTTCCCCTTGGGTTAAATGCCACCTCGCCTGAGAAGCCTCTTCCAGGATCACCAGGCAGAGTTCAGTTCTCTCTCCTTGTGGCTCCTGAACACCGTCTCTGTCCACTCCTCTCTTTTCAGCGTTCATACCACACTGCTCTAATCGGTGGCAGTTCCGCCCTTCCCTCTTTGAGCTCCCTGAAGGCAAGAGCCCCGTCCTTCTGATCTTTCTGTCTTGATAGGCCAGCACAGACTGGCACACAGTAGGTGGTCAGCACACAATGGTGGACCAAACGAATGAATGAGAGCGTGCAGGCACGAACTGTAGGAAGGCTCTTAGACACACCACACCTCAGAAGAGTGAGGTCATGGCCGAGGGAACATTGATCTCGGAGGTGCTCAGATGCACTCAGGCTAACCCCAGACCCTTTACAGTGATTGATGATGTTATAAGATCTTTTCGTATCTCTGAACTTCACTGACCCCTTACCTCCTTCCAAATCCCCAGACTCAATGCATCCTGGCTCGCCTTTAATGCATCTTGCTTTCTGTAAACCACCCAGTGACTTCAAAAGCTCGAGTTATTCCCCAGGCAGAACCAAAGGACCCATCTCCTCTGTTTACCCCCCATCCTGCTCAAGGTTTATTATTTAATGTCATGAGGTTTCCTGTGAGTGTGTTTTTGGGAGGACACTCCTACTGTGGCCTGAGAGCTCTGCATGCTAAAGGGTAACATGAGAACACCGGTATATGAGATATATCTCTCAAAACTCCTCAGGCTTTGTTGCCAAAACTGACTTTATGGTAACTCTTTACAGATCATCTTAAACTTCACATCCATGGATTTGTTTAAAAGCCGCCTGTGCTGGTACGACTACGTGGAGGTCCGGGATGGGTATTGGAGAAAAGCCCCCCTGTTGGGTGAGTTGACTCAAGAAAGCCTTGCAAGGGGAGTGATTGGCTGGCCTGCATGATGCGGTTAATGTTCGGGAGGGTCCATCCAGGCAGCGGTCACAGGAAGCTCTCAAGGGTCGGTGTCACTGTAAAACTCGGGACATTCCATTTGGCCGCACATGTTGGAAGCTTTTAAAGCTGTGAATACCCTTTGACCCAGCAATTCCACTTCTTGGAGTTTATCCTGGAGAGCCAATTAAGGAAGTGTGCGGAGCTCTAGCCACAGGCTGTTCGCTGAAGCAGGGAGAATTGAAAACAATTTAAATGTTCAACAGTAGGGGTTAGCTGAATAAATTATGATACGTCTTTTCCCTGGAAAACTGCCCAGCCATTAATGGTGAAGTTGGAGGTGACTCTTTACTGATACAGAAAGATGTTTGTCGTGCATTGTTACACAAAAAAAGGTGTGACTAAGTAGAATAAGCAGTAGGGCTCCAGGCTAACAGAAATGCGCATCCGGGTCTATTTTGCAGGCTGTACCAACGCAGATGCCTTCAGAAATGGGGTGTAAATGAACACGATGGGGTTGGTACGGCAAAACAAGGAGTTGGGGGGCTTGTGGCAAGCCGAACAGTGGGTATCCTGACCGAAATTACTGAAATCATTGCGTGGGCTGAATTCAACCGAAAGAAACCATTCTGTGACCTGCAGTATGAATATCAAGTAGAATTATAAATTGTCCACAGTGGTTATTTCAAGATGATGGAGTAGTTCTAAAAACTGGGTTCTGTGGTTGTTCCTGGTTTCGCTCTATTTTCTCATTTTCCTTTGCGGAACACGCACCACCTGTGGAGTGAACAGTGCATGAACTCACACGTGGAAAGGTAGCCGGACCTTGGAGTGAGAGGCAGTGGGCAGGGGCATAAAGAGAAAGGTCAGCTTGCTCAGGATTGGCGACCGAAAGAGCTCTCTCACAGGTGACCAGGGAAAGTTAATGTCGTAAGAAGGACCAATGGCTTTGGTGCCCAGGGAGTGGACGGGAGGGCTCTCCAGGGACGAGGGCTGCGGTGGAGACTGAGAAGGCGGTTCACGGGGAGCCCAGTAGAAGGGTCTCGGCTGAGAGTGGGCTGTCCTCGTTTTTAGAGTGGCCTGCAGAGTGGGCTTCCAGTGGAAGTTCCCAGTGAGAATGTGGTCCTTGGCATATGTTCATGGGGACAGAACAGCCACCTTGTTGTGCTGTGAATGGCCTGAGACTGAGCTGCTGTTGGGAAGTTGAGAAGAGAACTAAGTTGGGGAGTCCCACAGCCAGGCTGAACCCGACCTCACGTCATATTTGGGGGGGCTCAGAAGACGCAGAGACAGGCTCTGGCGGGACCCAGGGGAGCCCGGCAGGCATTAGGCTTCCAAATGACCAAGTGGTCTCAGCCGGTCCAGCTGCCATCTGGAACAGCGCATAAGCCCCCTCTGTCTGGCAGGGTATGAGTTTAAATTCTCAGGGGTACAAATGGGTATGAATTCATGTCCCGTGGGTGCACTAGAAAGGAACCAAGGCAGGCTCTGAGTGCAGGTACCAGGTTACCAGCATAGGGAGGAATCAGGTGGTTAGCAGTCCAGGTCGGCAAGCGGAGAAAGTGGGCCCCGGCCCAGCACAGACAGGTGTTGCACTGCAGGATGAGTCGGGGGTGCACCCAGTGGCGGGTTGGAGGCTGTCGCCCTGGATTTCTGCTTCCCGTCCAAGGTGAGCAGACGTGGTGGGTACCAGCAGCCAGGGGGACGGACGCATGGCTTTACAGGTAGCACTGACTAGATATGGCAAAATGACAGAGGGCTGTGTTTCTGGTAGCAGAGGTTCCTAAACCATGCTGAACACAAGCATCGCCTGGGAGGATTCCGGAGTGCAGATTCCTGGGAGGCTGCTGAATCCGAATCCCTGCAAGCTGGGTCAGGGAACGATCCCACTGACCTACAAACCTATGAACACATGAACTTGTCTAGTACCAAGTACACAGAAATGGGACTGCAGAAGGTGGTTACCTCTGAGGAAGGAAGCACAGAGGTGATGGGCAGCTGTAAAGTATTGTTTTATACTTAAAATAGTAAACAGAGGAGTTACACGAAAACATGGCATCACAGACCCCTCAGCCTGGCAGGGACCTTAGAGACACTGATCCCACACCTTCACGGGAAAACCACGCTCCCTGAGTTTGGACCAACTCACTAGGGCCACACGGCCCGCTAGTGGCTGAGGTCAGATCAGAACTTAGAATGCCTGGTGATGGGGAGAAGCTGAATCTGAGAAGAGTCTCCCCTAGGGTGGCTAGATAAAATGCATGATTCATTGTTTATCTGGAATTCAAATTGACCTGGGCTTCCTGTATTTTTGTTTGCTAAATCTGGCAACCCCATACTCCCCCAGGAATATGACAGACTTAAAGGGCTCAGGAGGAGGAAGCGCTCGCTCTGCTGCCCGAGTTCTCCGGAGAGGGCCGAGGCACGCTCCTGACTGAGGACAGGCTCACGGCAGAGGCATTGCCAGTCACTCCCTCCCTTGAAACAAGAATTCCCTCACCACCAATCCTGGTCTCTCTGGCTGCACTTTCATAGATTAGTTGGAGTTGGTGGTTTGTTTTGTTTGGGGGTTTTGGGGTGGTTTTTTTCTGGCTCATATTTTACACACTTTTGCAGTCTGTGTGTGTGATGCGTCTCGCAGCCAAGACATGGCCTGGCCGCCTGCAGCCATTCTTCATTCGCAGGAATCTCCTTTGCCAACTATTTGGCCCGCTCTGATGTTTCCAAATGCAGTTGTTAGTGAACTTTTGTGCTGGGAACAAGTGCATTGTGTGGGCCGAGCCGGTCCCTGGGAGGGGTCAGTGCCGTGAAATCTGCCGGGAGGAGGCAGGTCAATGCCCCTTTGGCAGGAGGGAGAGCGGATTAGGGCGAATTGTGAAAGTATGCGTCGTGCTCTGAAAAACTGTGCATTGCATATTTTCCCAGGGCACTGTGTGAAAATCCAGGCGTAATGGGTGCATAACTTTTTATGAATGAACCCTTTATGACTGCCCGTGGAGCCTCCTTGTCGTGCCCTCATCTGCATTTCCTCTCCTGATATCCTTATTAAACTCCTCCTCCAGAGCCAGGAACCAGATTTCAGTTCAGGAATTTGACACCTTTTCTCTGGTCCAGTTTCTCCCCAGTCTGTTAGGTCCCCTCGGAAGGAGGCTGCTGGGGACCCGGGTTTTCACAGCGTGATTAAAGGGAAATGTAAGTGGATTGAGGACATTTCACGGCTGGTTAAAGATATCAAATTGGTTTTTCAGTTTCAGGGGTCACTTACCAGACTGCGCTGAAAGGGGGGAGGAAGGTGGCTGCCCAGAGAACTCATCCATGATCTGAAATACCGGTCTGTTCATTGGGTTCCCCTCGCTTATTGCTGCAGAGGAGTGACTTCGACAATGAACTCTTGTATGCAGAACTGTCCTTGGGTATTCTCTGGCCCCACAATGCACACAAAAGCCCTTTCTCCCCCTTTCCCTGAAGTGGGGAGGGGAGTTCAGAGAGGCCAGGCTGGCCAATCAGTGTCGCGTGGCCCCACTGCTGGGGTGCCCTGGCCAGGGGCAACCTCCCAAATGAGCAGAAATCCGTCACACAGCCCTGCCTGGCATGGCTGCGGGCTGGCTTTATGGTGGAGGCTTTGATCTTCGTTCCTGTGTGTGTTTCCAGACTGGGAGGTGGGAATGATGTTTACATTCTCAGAGCAGATTTGATGTCAGTTGGTCCAAAAATGTCCAGTGTTCAGAATTGCATCTTAAACTGAGAAGTCCCTTTTGATGGTGGTGATGGTGATGATGGTGAAGAAGGTGAGACTGATAATGAGGGTCAAGATCTCAGACTGCCAAGGTTCAAATCCTGCTTTCACTTAAACAACTTTGAGTGTAACTCAACTCAAACTGTCCGATCCTCAGGTTTATCATAAATGAGGTTAATGTAATACCTAAATCAGGGGGTCGGAGGGGGTGCAATCAGGTAATTCACAGAAAGTGCTGAGAACCGTGTCTGGTATAAGCATCCCAATAAGAAAGGAGATTTTATTGCTGCTGTTACGGTGAAGATTAGAATGTTGAGACATCAGCCCAAGGACAGTGGATTCTAGTTGAGAATTACAAAGTGGTTTGGTGAGAGCTGTTACTTAGAAATAATTTGTAATTTGTTCTACTGAGTCTGGCTCCGCCAAGGCATGAAATACACCTTAGCCTGTAAGTCCCACCCGCTCCGGGGTCTGAGCAGAGATGGCTCATCCTGCGGCCCTGGAGTGCATGGCTTATCTTTTCCAGTTGGCTTCTTAGGCAGCAAGACAGTGGCAGTCCCTCTCCCTTTTGGTGACCCGTCCCCAGTGGTTGTGACAGCTGGGGCTCTAAATAAAAATTTGGACTTGACACTTGGGCTGGCTAAGAAGGGATTTCTTGTGAACCAGCTTTGCCCTGAGGTTCAGCAGCTTTCTCTCCCCACTGGTAAGCCATACTTCCCCATGCTTACGCGTTGTTTTCCAAGAACTAATTGACACTAATTGGCCATGCCAGAGGAACCATTATCGAAAATTTATAGGCTTCTCGTGGATTTTTCCTCGCTGCATTCTTGGCAGCAGTTTCGGCTCATTTCATTTAACACTAAGCTCACCAAATCCAAAGGGCTGCAGGTGGCCAAGATCGGAAGGAAGCGGAGGGAGGATTAGCAGACTCGGCCCAGTGTGTCTCCCCAAGGAATGTACACTCAGCTGGCTGTGAGGAAAGAGTCCTCCCTCCCGCACTCCCCCAGTTCTCAGAAAGGCAAAGCACAGCTACAGCTTCAAAGGGCCGATTCAGTGCTTAACATGGTGCTGGCAATAAGAGAGAACTCACTAAATGTGGGCTTTCAGATACATGTGATGAGATGGAACTCACATGCCACATAATGGGCTGTTCGAAGTGTGCACAGCAGTGGCTTTTAGAGTGACTGTAGAGCTGTACAGCCAGTACCACCATCCATTTGAGGACATCTTCATCACCTCCAAAATAAGGCCACACCCATTAACGGTCACTCCCTACGTCCCCCCTTGTTCACTGGATCTTCTGAGTGACTCGCACAGCTGGCACTCGTCAGAACCATGGCTTCCAGTCCAGACAGGCCTCGACTGGTCTGTACTGTGGCAGAGCACAGCCGTCTTCCACCCACCTCATCACAGTCCTTGCCCAGCTACTGTCTTTGTGGCGTTAGAAATAATATGGCCAAGGATGACCATGTACTGGGTAGGCATGGTCTTTCCCCTTTGCTTCTGTAGAGGATCCACATTTTAGACTCGCACCCAAGTGTTCAAGAAGTACACGTTCATTTAAAATGTTCAGTACCAAAAGTTCAATAGCAGTTATGAGCCCCCTTTCCATCAGGTGGTGGGAACATGATTGCAGACCCTTCATGTTTTCTTCCCCAGGGTAAAGGCGGGGGTGTGCACAGGCTTGGGGTCAGGGCATGGTGGCAGAGGAGGCTTCCACAGCGCCATGCCATGCCATTGATGGGACGTCCTCATCCCTCTCGGGTCTCCAGCCGTCCATCCATCTAAGTGGCTGCTTTGCCTCCTCCTTGTCTCAACTCAAGGCCAGTTCAGATTGGTGTTGAGTCGATGTCCCCCTAGAAGACGTTCTGTGGCTCCCCAGTTCCTCTGAACTATGGGAGAGTCACTTCCATGTCCTTGCCCGGAGCCCGGGACGCGGCTGCTCCCGCCCGCCATGCTTTGCCTGAAGAACTCTGAGTGCCTGTGTCCTGGCCTCATGTTCTAGCAAATCACAAAGACACTTCTGTTCTGACCCCTGGTGGGACACGGGGATCTAGGGTTCAGTCGTCTCTCCAGGCTCTGCCCAGAGACCTGGGGGCCGGTTCTCTGCTCCTTCCAGGTCCTTAAACCTACTTAGCATCTCTCTCATCTTTCCACCGTCTCAGCTTGGGGTGGGACAGGGCACAGGGTCCTTTTAGAGGCCCCGTGGTGCCCTCTTCAACCCCCTCTGTCCCTAGTCCCCTCACTGCACTGTCCTGGGAACCTTTCTGAGCTGACAAGGGTGGGAAAATGGGCTCTTACTCAGTGTGTATTTGTCTAAATCTGTGGCATTGTGACTAGGCTTGTGATAATCAAAAGCCAAGAAGGTTTGATCTCTTTATCCTGTGATCCCTCCTGTGTCCCTTCTCTGGTGCAAGGAAGGCAGGTTTTCTTCCCACAGGCAGCCCCCAAAGAGAAGGGCGTGTATGCAATGGGAACACGGCGGGGGGGTGGGGGGGGACAGAGCACAGTCATCACGGTCTCAGACCGTCACCCACTGCACCTTCAGCTCCTCAGCAACACCTGTTTGGCAGGAGTGGGGGAGCTTGGGCTGCACTCTGGCACTTGGATTGACTCTAGTCTGAAGTTCTCCTGAAGACACAGTCTGGAGAAGGCACACAGGCCGGTGACTTTGTTTCCCTCCTATCCGCCAATCCCGTGTGCGCCACAGGAGGAGTTAGTTGCCCCTGCGGGGCTTACAGATCACCTAAAACCGCATTTGGAACACTGCTTTCTCTGTCTGCAGAGAGCCCCTGCTTGCTGTCCACCAGCAGCCTTATCAGTCTTTTCTACTTCCCAGGTAGGTTTTGTGGCGATAAAGCCCCGGAGCCGCTTGTCTCCACGGACAGCCGACTCTGGGTGGAGTTCCGGAGCAGCAGCAACATCCTGGGCAAGGGTTTCTTTGCAGTGTATGAAGGTTTGTTCATGATGGAGCCTGGGTAGCTCCTGCTTGCAGCCTGCTGTGTCCCAGGCGTGTGCGGCAGCTGCCCGAGCCACGGCTGTGGGGCGCCACAACCGGGCCCAGGTGGAGTGATTCACTCTCCCCTTCCTCCACATTCTGGAAGCAAGGGGCCCGCTGTGCTCACTTCAGGACAGAGGTCATCTACCTGTCACCACCCTGCTGAACCCTCATTCCAGGCCTGGGAGTGGGGTGGGGTGGGGAGGGTGGTGTCGGGGGACACAGAGCCCTGTGGGAATGAAACCAGCCTCTGAGTAGCAGTGTGCACCTGAGCAAAGAATCGAACCCCTCAGAGCTGTTGTGGGTTTCATTTGTGAAAAGAGGACTTTGGACAATATCGGGGAATTTTCAAATAGATTTCTTGGAAAGTCCTGTGAGGCCACCACAGGGTTGGAGCTGAGAGAACCGCAGATCTGGGCTCTCCGCAGCTGCCGCCAGGACGGCTCCCTTCTGCTTGTGCCATGTGTGACCCCGCCCCCAACAGGAAACCACTACAGGGTGATTAAGGCCCCTTTTGGTCTTAAATTGTAATTTCGGAGAGGCCCACATTTTGTGTTCATGAAAGAAAGAGCATGCATGCACGCGGCCCTCTACCCTGTACATGACACTCACCTGGGGACTAACACCACTGACTGTCGGAGCTCTCCCTCCCCATCTTAGTCAGAACCCCTGGGGCTGTGGCCCCATCTTCTGTAGCGTGAAAATCCCCCCAGTGATCCTGATGCACCCGGCCCATGGCTCCACGAGGTCGTTTTCTGCACATGTGAAACAGTTCTGAGTCGCCAACATGAACTTGTGCCTTTCTGTAGGCACAGCCTTGGCTGGATGGAAGTGAAAATTTGGCAAGTGGAGTCACCTAGTGGTGACAAGTGGCCAACTTTCCTTGTCAGATCTGACCAGGGACCCCTCTTCCTTTCTCTTTGTAAAGCCCGTTCTGTTCTCTTTCTAAAGCTACATGTGGGGGAGACATAAACAAAGACGCTGGTCAGATCCAATCTCCCAACTACCCTGATGACTACAGACCTTCCAAGGAATGTGTTTGGAGGATTACGGTTTCAGAGGGTTTTCACGTGGGGCTCACCTTCCAAGTTTTTGAGGTAAGTCCTGCCCAGGTGGTCTTTCTGGGGATGAAGTCAATGTCAGCTCTTGCTAGACACGCTCTGCTCTATGAAGATGGGTTTCCAAAAAAAAACCACAAAAAAACAGATGGGTATCCACTTTTTGGTTGAAAACAGGAACCTAAGAGGCAATTTCAAGCCTGTGGTGGGTTATACCCAGACACCTGGTGTCAAAAGCTTTGCAGGCTTTGAAATCATGTCCGTCCCCATACTGAAGGCTGCTGGAGTGGCGGGGGGTGGGGGAACCCAGTGGGAGTCTAGGCTGGGGTCCCAGCCAGTGCTGTAGCACCATTCTGCCCCACTTATCATCTCTTAGTCTCTTTGCAGCTTGATTCACCCTTGCCTTCTGCAAGTAGGGGATGGCTTGGAGAAGCCCAGGACACACTTGGGTCCTTTGGCCTCTTGGTTCAATTTTTCGGAGTGGTACTGAGGTTCCCTCCTTAAATCAAAAACCCGAAGGCCAAGCTGTTGGTCGTCTTCCACGTTGCCTCTGTTTCTCCATTTAGATCGAAAGGCATGACAGCTGTGCATATGACTACCTGGAAATCCGCGACGGCCCCACTGAAGAAAGCGCCCTGATTGGCCACTTTTGCGGCTACGAGAAGCCGGAGGACGTGAAGTCGAGCTCTAACAGAATGTGGATGAAGTTTGTGTCCGATGGCTCCATCAATAAAGCGGGCTTTGCGGCCAATTTTTTCAAGGGTATGCATAGCAGTTATTTCCATTTTTAGTCACAGGAAGAGCGCCTACTGTGTGCCAGGAACTGTGTGAGGTACTTGATTTACACAGTGTAATTTAATTTCCAAAGTAACCCTTCGAGTTGGATTTGGATCATGTTTGATCAGTGCTGAGAAGGGTTGCTCAAGGTCACTCAGAGAGTTAAGTGGCAGGTCACAACTCCAAACACAGCAAGTGTGACATTGCATTGCACTGCCTGATGTGGGTCAGAAGCAGCCCAGGTCTCCAGCTCCTGAAGCATCAGCCCCCAGCCTACAAGTGGGTGGGGGAAGGACAGAGAGTGGGGGATGGTGCTCCGGGAACACACCTCCATGTTGCATTAGGAACCAACTGCTCTGCAGGGTCTTGGTGAAACCAGACCCTGATGGTTTGGGAAGACCAGCATTCCTGGCCTTAGGACAGTGGGCTTCCCAGCCTTAGACAGGTAGGTCTTCCTTCTCTGTTCTCAGGGTCCTGGAAGACCCTCAGACCACATCCTACAAGGGAATACTGGACATTCCCCACTACACTGTGATTGGGCATTAATAGCATGCCAGCAGCCACTGAAATGGAGACATCCAATCTGCAACAGATTGACAGCATCACTCACACACAGGAGAAGGCTGCCTTTCCTTCCTTCTCTTCTCCCTGGAAGAGAAATCCTGGTCCCTCCCTTACTCCCAGTCTCCCCATCTGCCCCCTCTTTTCCCTTCTCCCAGGTTCTGCAGGTGGGTGTCAGAAGACCCCACTTCAAGCCATGTGACCATGACCAGGGACTGTCATGGACAGTTTTAGGAGGCCTCATTTTGTTTGCCACATGTTATGAATGATTATGTGGTTTTATTCTAATTCTATTTATTTTAGCTCTCCTGTCCCTTTCCTCCCCTGCCTTCCATCCCCAGGTCTATACCTGAGGTATTAGGGCTTCTTTCTAGTGAGATAACTGGTAACCAGTTGGCACTGGCCCACCCACCCCTCATTTCCAGTTCTGAGGATAATCAGAGATGCACATTTTTGAGAAGATTGGCTAAAGCTGGTGATTAGGGTTGCCAGATTTAGAGGGGAAAAATGGGATGCCCGGTTAAATTTGAATTTCAGATGAAGCATGATTTTTCAGTTTAAGTATGTCCCGATGCAGATGTAATGGAGCCTGCTGCATGTGTGTGGTGACCACCCGGAGCTGCCAGTTGGGGCAACAGAAAGGAGCATTTCCCTCTGTGATGCTAAACCGGTTTCTAAGGGAGCGAGTTGAGAACCTTGGCCTACTTTATGTAACCATGATAACCAGCTCAGTTCACTGGTTAGAAGACATTCTTTTCCCTCCATTCAAGAGTCATCAGACAATGTGTTGGGTACTGTGCTAAGGGCTGGGGACACAATGGGACACATGGACTTTGTTCTCAAGAGCTTAAGGTGGTGAAAAAGACTGCAAACAAATGGGCAATGATATGAGGTCTGTCCGGAAAAAGCCCAGCCATTGTTAACAAAACAAGAATGGTTTACTAGACATCGATGTAACCTGGCAGCCAAGGAGAGTGGACTGGAATGTGCATGTGTGAACAATGATGACTTCACTGTACTAGTCAGTGGGGGCAGTAGATCCTGTTCAGGGAGCATGTGTACTGTGTGGTCGTCACATTCAAAATGACTGAGTGAGTAGGACAACGAATCTGCATCAGATTTTGTGTTGAGCTTGAACATTCCTCATAGAAACCATTTGGATGATTCAAAAGGCCTGGTCTGTGGGCAACTAACGTAATCGGCAGCTTCATCACGACAATGCACCCACTCATGCATCATGTCTCACACAGAGATTTTTGGTGAAACATCAGATCACCCAGGTGACTCGGCCCCCCTACAGCCCAGATTTGGCGCCCTGTGACTTCTGGCTTTTCCCAAAACTAAAATCACCTTTGAAAGGGAAGAGATTTCATACCATCAGTGAGATTCACGATACAACAGGGCAGCTGATGGCAATTGGGAGAAATGTTTGCGATCCCAAGGTGCCCACTTTGAAGGGAACTGAGGCATCATTGTCTTATGTACAATGTTTCATGTGCCTTGCATCTTCCTCAATAAATGTCTTTATTTTTCATATTACATGGCTGGATACTTTCTGGACAGACCTCGTATTGCCATAGAAGTGTGAACTTGGGAGAAGGCCAGGAGACCTCAGACTTGGCCTGGGGGTGGGGTCAGGTCACCCAGCCTGCTACTTCAAGGGCATTTCAATTTGCAAATGTCTTTTAAGGTTCTCACGAAGGTCCTCATTGAGGCCCATCTATACTGACTTAGTGCATGGACCCCGCTTGACATCTTTTTAATATTACTGAGAATGACCTTAGCCCTGAACCAGGTTTGGCAGAAACTAATTGGAGTCTGTTAAAGGGCAAAGAAAAATCTACTGAGTGTGCTAGAAGTGACATTAGTTTTCTCACTTTATCTTCAGAACAGCCCCATAGGTAGGCAGCATTATGACTCCCATTTTCAAACTGAGGAAACACGTTCCCAGGTCGGGGAGTTAGGACTAGACCCTGGACCTGCAGGGTTCCACAGAGCACTCTCTCTCTATGATGGAGACCTAAAGCCACAGGCAAGTGAAGTGGAAGGGTTTAATTTTTTACTCATGTTTGTGATTCGATTCTGACACTTGGTCACCTTTCTGTCTTCTCGATACCATGGGAATATAGGAAAAAGGCCCGGAGTTCAGCACCTGAGGTTCAGGTTCTAGTCCTACCTTCGTTGCTAAGTAGCATCCACTGTTGGGCAGCCAGGTTTCCTTTCTGAGACTGGATCACACCTGCGGTGCTCTCCAGTCTGTTGCTCACAGTGGGTTCAGTAAATACTTACTGGGCAGTGGATGGATGGATGAATGAGGGAGGTTCAGGCTCCTCTTCTGTGGGTCGGGTGTCCTGCGACCAGCCCCGCCTACCCTTAGGGGTTCCCGTGAGGACGAGGGAGACGGGGACCACTGCCGCCCAGCAACGCAAAAGCCCAGTCACAGGTGCCAGCTGCGTACAGTTTTAAAACTTTCTAGCTGCTTTACTGAAACACAAACGGAACAAATGAAATTGATTTTAATGTATTTTATTTTACCCAATATACCAAAAAACAGTATCATTTTGATATGTAATCAATATACACAGTATTAGAGATGTTTTATGAGTTTCTGTTTTACATATGAAGTCTTGTCAGTCCAGTGCGTGTGTCACTCACAGCACGTCCCAGTTTTGATGAGCTGCGTTTCACGTGTGTAATAACGGCACGGGACTGGTGGCTCCCCTACGGTCACTGCAGGTCCGGAGACTGGGCATGGCCAACGTCTCTGCCCGGCCTCTCCCCAGGAGGCCACAAGTGGGCTGTCCTGGGAACATAGTGCCCAGTGCATGTGTCTGGGCTTCTCCAGTGAACGAAGCTGGAAGAATAATCACAAAGGCCGCACAGTAGAACTGGACCAAGTCGAAGAAGCTCTGGCCACGGTGCCAGCTGGCAGGAGGCTCTGCTCGGGGCCCAGCTGGCATACGACACTGACCAAGGTGCCAGCTGGCCTCTGCATCCCTCTCCTGGGCCAGATGGCAGCCCGCAGAGCACCTCGCATTGCTGGTTACTTCAGGAGATGGCAGCAGCACTCGAGGGCTGGCAGGGCCGTTATGGTCACACACGTCCTGCAAAAGCATGTGAGGATCCCCACACTCCACTGTCCCGTTGCCGATGGACCACCGTGGGCTGTTGGATGAGGGGGACTGGCATCTTTCAAGGTGCTTCTTCAGAATCTTAGCGATATGCCTGCCTTCTCTTTCCTCAACCTTCTTTGAAATAATTTTTGGGATCCTACCTGAGTCATTTCATTGTCTAACCATGTAATGGTTCCCTCTCTCACTAATACCACTGGGAGAAGGCAGAGAAGCTTGAGCTCCTGCTATGCAAAACCCATTCCTGGTTCAGCTCCTTCTCCGTCCCAGGTTTTTCTGGCAGGCTGAGCCTTGGCCACTGCAGCCCAGAGCAAGCATAAACCTGTGGGTTGGGAGCAGACGCAACTTCACCTCAGTGTGGGTGGAGATGATACAGAGGACCCCCAGGCTTCCACCAAAAGCAGGGTCCCTTGTACACTTCCATGCCACCCCCCAAACTGGGGCAGGGTTGGAAGTGGCTAAAGATCCCACTGCTTTTGCTGCAGAGAGCTCAGGTGTAAATGCATACCTTTCTCCCAGCTCTGGGTTAAACAGCCTGCTCTTCTACTCTGTGGGGGAAATATATTCCCTTTGCTTTGGATCCAAATTCATTTTATCAGCCTCTCTCCCTCCATGGCGCTCAGGTGGTGCCAGGAAGCTTAGTGATCTGTGTTATTCTCCCTTTCTGGCCTATGACACAGGTGTGTCCCACCCATAACCATGGAGTCTTCTGGCGTCAGAGTCTCCTCCTCACCCCGACCTTGGGCCTTTGTTCATCTAAGTCCGTTTTGGTGGGCTTTTCCCCACGGTCCCTCCTGCCTTTTCCCTGCCCACCCACCAGTTTCTCAACTCTGCTGTGCTGCCCCATCTCGTCTTCATGGGCCTGGGTGCATTTTCCTTCTTTTTGTCCCTCCCTCCTCAGGCCTGCACCCCTCCACTCTCACCTGACTCATGTGTGGCCAGGCACCCTCATCCTCTTCACCACCCCGTCATTGTGTCTCTGCACCCACGGGAGTTTCAGAGCAAGCCCGCTGCTGTCTGTAGTGACGACCCTGTGTACTGAGTCTGTGTCCACATGTTGGCTACTTCACAACGTGTCATGTTCAATCACCACAACCCTAAAACCGGTGTTACCGTTGTTCTTCTCATTATAAACCAGGGGGAGCGCTGTTTGTCGGGGGAAGGTCCACTGGTGGACCCCCCCCCCCCAAGGTCCATCTGGCTCACTGAAGCCTGGACTCTCCTTACCATCGATTCTGCTCCTCCTATACGTTCTAGCGGATGTTGGAGAAAGTGCTCGTTATGTTGTAAAGTGACCAGTGATTTCAGGATGGTTGCTGTTGCAGTATTACATGTGCTTGAGGCCGTGGACAACTTCAGGCCTCTTCCCACAGCGAGTCTCCCCTGGTGGCTGACTTTGCTGAGCCCAGGAACACATCACTCTTAGAGTTAGGCACGATTGCTGCCTTGTATGTGAGACGAGCGGGTGTTTACAAACTGTCCTTTACGCAGGGAAGAGCGACCTGGTGGATGAGGATTTTGTGCATCCTAAGGAAGGTTGGAAGGAAGTGGGTTCATTGGAGCTGGAACAGGACAGAGGGCTGGGAGGCATTTCGGTTAAAGGGTTTACATTCTTCTGGAGAACCAATGGGTGGAAGTTGCTAGGAGTCTGAATTTTGACAACTCAAATCACAAAGGATGAGAAATAGTTTGAAAAGCAGCGAGAGCCTTATTTCTGGCTGTTTTCGAGATGGGTCTGGAAAAGGCCCTCTCTCAGAAATGTTACTAAAAGCATCTGTGCCGAGAGGGCAGGACCGAGAACACCTTCAGGCCTTTGCCAGCTAACTCGAAGGTGTCCCGGTTCCTCTCACTTTCCGTGCAATACGGCCGTTCAGGATTTTGTGGACAGCTCCGCGCTTGCTCTCTTCCCACCTTGCAGGGTGTTACGAACCACCAGTGCCTTCCTCCCAGCCCCAAGCCTGTCTTCTTCCTAGACTGGACTTTGTTTTTGTTTTTGGTTTGTTTTACAATTTCTCGTTGTTCAGATTTCCCTTCACTAGGCTACCACAAATTGGCAACAGAAAATAGTTGATCTTTCCTTTTATTTCTGGCACTCTTCTTGGAGATGCCCAATGCCTGGTTGTTTGGGGGGCTTTTGTTTTTGTTTCCTTTGGTTTGGTTTTGGCCTTCATCGGTTCCCTGGGCTGCTGTGCCTGGGGGAGGCTCCAGTGACGCCTTGTCCTTCCCTGGGCGGCACTGCTGGCGTCCTGCCTGCCCCAAACACGTCACTAGACACTGCCGGTGCTGAATGCCATCGACCCCCTGCTGACTGTTGCCATGGCCTCTTCCTGCGCGAGTGCTGGCTAACCTGAGGGCTGGCATTGTCTGTGACCTTGAAGATCTCCCAGCGCCCACCTCTTCAGTTATTTATAAAAATGTGAAGTCACAGGTTTTTGTTCTGCCTCTAGAGAGTACTTACATATCTTCATCTAGAAATGTGTCCCTTTGTCCTTACCCTTTATTTAATGTCCCTGAGAAATTCCATGTTTGGGGTTGGAGGGAGTTCGTTGTGTTGAAATTGGTTCAGTCCTTGGTGTGGAATCCTTGAGGTTTTCTGAAAGTCACAAATGAATATAGCTGACTGGACCCTCCAAAGAATGGAATTATCCAGGCCTGCTCTGTCCCTAGCCGGACCTTGCTTCTGGCTAGTGAGTTTCTTGTCTTGTGTCCCCAAGAGCCTTCGTGTTCTTGGAGGACACTTGCCGGGGACCTTGGGATATGGGCAGCAGCGGGGACAGACTGGGGAGCCTTGGGTGATGTAACCAGAGTCCCCTTTTCCCCAGCAGAGGTGGACGAGTGCTCCTGGCCAGACCGCGGCGGGTGTGAGCAGCGCTGCGTGAACACCTTGGGCAGCTACAAGTGTGTGTGCGACCCCGGCTATGAGCTGGCTGCCGACAAGAAGACATGTGAAGGTGGGTGCGGGGCCTGCCATGCTGGACTGATAGGGGACCAGGGACAAGTCCTCGGGGAACTGGGCAGAGATGGGCGCCAGCTGACTGCGAAATAACACAGACGCTTGTGGTGGACGACCCACCTCCTCCTCAGAGGGAAAAACAACTCGGTCCGTCACAAATGTGAGAGGACTGCCCAAATCACACGTCCACCCTGTACCTGGAGCCTTGGTTTGTTTTATTCTGTGACGATGTAAAAGTCACGTGATGATTAAGGTAGAAAATAAAGGCAAAGGGAAACTTCGAGCACTTTGTTGTGACTGGACAACTGGCACGTTCCATTCACCCGCCCCCACCTTGCCCACCCCCATGACTCTGCTGGCTGTAAGCCAGGGACGTTGCATAGCCTGGTGCAAACCAGGACGTTGTCACTATTTTTAAAAGCAATAAAGTACTGGTCCTCAACTTTATCCCTCCAAACCCTCATTTGAAACAGGCTGGAAGAAAGGGCGCTGAATTCATCAGTTCAGATTGTCTGACTTTTTAAGTTATTATTATGAACTAACACCAAACAAACCTTGCTTCTGTTTCGCCCATGCAGTGGCCTGCGGTGGCTTCATTACCAAGCTGAATGGAACCATCACCAGCCCGGGGTGGCCGAAGGACTACCCTACGAACAAAAACTGTGTCTGGCAGGTGGTGGCCCCCGCCCAGTACCAGATCTCTCTTCAGTTTGAAGTGTTCGAACTGGAAGGCAATGACGTATGTCCCTGCATTCTAATTGACAGGGGACTGTGTTGGGATGTGGCTCAGGGCAGGGAACCAGTAAGGGGTCAGCGGGCAGGGGGGTGGCTTCCTAAGCATCTCCACTGGGCAGAATCTGGGGACTGTGTGGGCAGCAGCTTCAGCTGTGCCTCCCCTGCAGACTGAGTGCCCGGGTGCTCCTGTCACCGGCAAATCCAAGGAGAATCAGGACGGGAGTGGAGGAGGCTGTCTTGGGCGGGGGAGGGGGGAATGGTCTGACAGGTGTGTCCCCTGAGGGAGGAACCTGGAGGTTAGAGTCTGGCTGAGGGGAACGGAGAGGGAGAGGTACAGCTGGGCACCAGGATGGTATAAACAGCCTGTTGCCTCCCTTAGCCAGTGGCCACAGGTGACCTGGTCAGCCAAGGCCAAGCAGAGCCGCACGGCCAGAGTGTAGTGTCCCTTGGGCTGGAGGGACCCCAGTGCGAATCTAGAGGACCCTCCTGCTGCCCCTGGCTGAGCTGGTCTGGCCAGCTGACAGGGTGCAGTGCTCAGGAAGGCGACCCTGCAGCGCTGGGGGTCAGGGCGGGAACGTGGGGGCCCAGGCAGCTCCCAACTCGCTCCCTTGCAGGTCTGTAAGTACGACTTCGTGGAGGTGCGCAGTGGCCTGTCCCCAGATGCCAGGCTGCACGGCAGGTTCTGCGGCTCCGAGACCCCCGAGGTCGTCACCTCACAGAGCAACAATATGCGCGTGGAGTTCAAGTCGGACAACACGGTCTCCAAACGCGGCTTCCGGGCCCACTTCTTCTCAGGTGTGGGGTTCGAGGCGTGGCCGCAGTGCTGAGGGCCGCACAGCTGTGCCCACTCCTGGCCTCTGGGGCTCCGGCCACCCCTCTCTGCCCAATGCCCCTGCCGCACAGTATCTCCATAACAAACACCCACCAACTGGGGAGCATAGAACAGAAGAAATACGTTCTCCCGTTCTCCCGGTTCTGGAGGCCAGAAGCCGGGACCAGGGTGTGGGCGGGGCTGCGTCCTCTGCGGGTTCTGGGGGGCGGGGGGGGGACCCCCCTGCTCTTCCTGGCGCTGGTGCCGTGCTTCCCGGCTCCGTGACCTCCATCTATCCTCCAAGTGTTGTCCTAGATTCTGAGTCGTCCTTGGGAAGCCAGAGGCTAGAAGTAAAACTTAAAGTGTTCTGTGGTCTATGGCCTGCAGTGGGCAGACGGCACAGAGGGTGGGAAACGGCTGGACCCCTGCAGTTACCCTGGTGGGTGGGGGTGTGGGTGCTGGGGAGGGAGGTTGGCCTGTTATTGCAGGAAGCAGCCGGCTCTGGAGAGGGCTGCGCACGGCCTGGGCTTGAGCTGTAAGACCCGTGGCAGTAACACCTGCTAACGCTTGAGTTCATACATAGTAAGAAGTGAGTGCGAGCTAACACTTCTGAGCTGGATGCCGTTCTAAGGGCTTTCCCTGTACTAATTCAGGTCCTCCTCTCAACAGCCCTGTGAGGCAAGGAAGCCTTATTGACTCCACTTTAAAGGTGAGGCAATTGAGGCCCAAGGCCACAGTGGCTGCAGCCGGTGGAGCAGGGCTCGCACTCGGCCACCTGGCCTGTGGCCCCCACTTACCCACCCACCGAGAGGCGGTGGTGTGGGGTCGTGGACTGTGAGCCACTTGCTCACTGAGCGACCTTGGGGGACGCGGGCACTCTCAGCCTCAGTCTCCTTATGTGTTAAATGGGGGCACAGGTGCCTTCCTCCTAAGGGCGTGTGAGAATGAACTTAGACAATGGATGGAAGTGCTTGGGTCGGTGCCCGTACATAGTAAATACTCAGTACATGCTAGTGATTGTTGTTATTGTTACCGTTATTATTAATATTGGCCTATCCTTGAAGGAGCTCCTTGTTTTCGGTAGGGAGCGGGGGAGGAGAATGTATATGCTGAAGTGCTCTAGGAGCATGGGGGGTCCACTGTGGACCAGGGCCCTGTAACCCCACCAACGCCACCCCCTGCCTCCCCCGGTAATCAGGGAGGCCACCTCCGAGTAGAGTTCTGAGTGGAGGGAGGCCACCTGAGTGGGCGGCTCCCCTCAGGAGAGTCTGTTGGTCTCCCCAGACAAGGACGAGTGTGCCAAGGACAACGGCTGGTGCCAGCACGAGTGCGTGAACACGTTCGGGAGCTACCTGTGCCGGTGCCGGAATGGCTACCGGCTGCATGAGAACGGACACGATTGTAAAGAGGGTGAGGCTGAGCGCGGTGGGGCTGGGGGGCCAAGCCGCTGCCTGCAGTGGCGGCAGCTGTCAGAGTGAGAGCGGGCGGCCCTCCCTGTCCTCCCCGAGGTTCAGCACCTGCCCTTCCCCCAGGGCAGCGCGCCCCTTCTGGGGGCACAGCATTATTATGGCACAGTGGCTAAGCCCTCATTTAAATCCTGGCTCTTCTACTTAATAACTGTGTGGCTTCAGACAAGTTATTTAACCTCTCTGAGCCTTAGTTTCCTCTTCTGTTTAAAGAGACTAAACATACCCCCTTCTTAAAGTTTTTCTGAGGATTAAATGAGAGAATGCCTAGAAACTATTTCAGACAGTCTGGCCCATATCGAGCACTTGAAATGTTGATAAATATCAACCATCTACGTCATAATATTATTTTTCATATGTGGGTCCAATAATAAAGTAGGATTGGGAAAGCTTTGCTCTCTGCTCCACTCACTACTGGGAGTTCTTCAGGGCCAGATGGCTTTGCCAGTCCAGTCATTCTGGGAAAGGCCTTGCTCTGTTTTTGCTCCACCCCGCAAAGGGAGTTCGAACATCTCTGATAAACACACAGGCCTCCGTGCCTTGGCCCCGACTACAAAGGCCTGCAGAGGATGTGAGGGTGAGAGAGAAACATTTCAGAGTCAGGAGGCTTGGCTGGGCTCACGGTCTGGTCAGGGCCTTCCTAGACTGTTAGAGGATGAGCTAAGATGTCCTTAGAAGCAGGATGCAGCCCCCTTCCGAGCCCGGCCCTGTGACACAGACAGGGGCGGTCACGGATTGGGCTGGGAGGCAGGTGGGAAGAACTAGGAAGGAACTGTTATTCTGGGATTTAAAAAATCACTGGCAAGCCCCTGTGAGGTGGGCCTGGGCCAGAACAGCGCTTGCCTCGTGTGGTGTGAGGCCACATGAGGCCAAGAGGGTTATAAACTCCACGAAGGTCCTGCCCGCTGAGCAGTGGCTGCCTTCCTGTGTGTCCCCAGAGTGGGCAGGGGGGGCCGGAGTAAATGCCCCGGGAGCCGAGCCCCTGCCCTTGTGGGCACCTGTCCCCAGGGCGCGGGCCAGTGAGCAGCAGGACCTCCTTGCAGCCACCTCACCTGCCACCACTCCCCCTCCTCACCTCGCCCCTTCCAGCCACCTCAGCCTGAAACCACAGTGGCACGAAGCCCACCTCCTCTGCTCTGTCCGTGTCCTAGTCACGGCAAAGGCAAGCCCAGGTTCAAGTCCTGGCTCCACCCATGACTCGCCGGTCCCTTATCCACTCTAAATGTTCATTTTTCTCATTTGGCAACGGGGAAAGATAAAACGAGAGGATGCATTCTGAATGCTTAGCACAGTGCCCGGCATGGAGGGCGGCACATTCTAACTACAGGCCAAAATGCCGCTCAGTGGGCCGGCCGTGGGCCACTCTCTGCTAACGGCGCTGTGACCAGGGCAGCGTCTGTGGCCTCCACAGGACACCGCTCGGACAGACTGAGAAAGTAGTGCAGAGGTGAAGGCCTGGCAGGGAAGGTCTTGGTTAGCGCTCGCCCAGCCTTTTCCGAGCGTTGTCCCATTTACTCCACATAATCTCCCTCTGAGACTGGCAGCCCTGTTACAAAGCAGGACGTCGAGACTGAGAAAAGCACCCCAAGTCCCACAGCTCGAAGGGGGCAGAACCAGGGCCCATGTGACCCCAGGGCCCATGCTCCAAACCATTCCCTTCACCATATTTCCATCGATAACCATGACGTGGACAGTAACAGAAAGCTGACCTGGCTCCTGAACCACTGCCAGGAAGGTGGCAAAGTCCAATAAACCACCACATCTCTAAGCCAGGCAACACTGGATTCGGACTGACCGCCGCTCCCGCACTGCCCATCAACCGTGGGACCAACAGGGCGAGGGGCAGATGACTTCTTAGAAAGCCTCATATGTGCCTCCGAGTGAATTACTTCTCTCTCCATATGCATCCCCGACACCCCCAGCTGGCTGTGCGCACAAGATCAGCAGTGCGGAGGGGACCCTGGCCAGCCCCAACTGGCCCGACAAGTACCCCAGCCGGCGGGAGTGCACCTGGAGCGTCTCTTCAACCGCAGGCCACAGGGTGAAACTTGTGAGTCATTTTCATAGTTAATGGACCACAGGGACAGAGAGGGTGTGGGTGTGAGTCTCTGCTCTTCCGGTTCTCAGCTCTGAGACTTGGGGAAGTTATGAAAGGGTTCTCAGTCTCAGTTTCTCGATCTGGAGAATGGAGCTGCTAGTGAAACCTGCCCCCGGGGCCGATGAGCCGATGAGCTGATGAATGGAGGGTGCACGGGAAGCCCTCAGCCCGGGGTGGCAGGTGACAAAAGCTCTGTAAGTAGCACCTGTTCCTGGTGGGGCCAGAACAAGGCAGAACCTGCCACATGGTGCGGTTTGAGATTTCACTGTTTCCTGCTTTAATTTTTTCACAAACCAGTACATTATCAAGATTTTAAAAAGTTATCAGTATGGAGGGCTGGAAAATGAAAATCAGGTCTCTAGTGCCTTGTGCGCTCTAGAATGGACCCCTCCGAATATTTGGGGTGAGTCCCCAGACGTGTTCTGTGCACGTGCAATCATGGGGTACATTCCTGGGAAAACAAATGTACGTATGGCCTTGTTCCTGTCCAAACTTCTCAAAGGGACCCTAGTTGTTCCTGCTCCTCTATGACTTACAGTATTTTAATTAAAGATAGCAAATTAAGTTATTTATGCCAATTTCCTCTTGAGTTAAAAAATATGTATCTCCCAAGCCTTTCTTTAAAGTCCCATCCCAGCGTAAGTCTGTGGTCTGTACACCACGCTCGGTTATTTCAAAGACAGATGAGTCTTTCCACACGTCGCTCTCTCAGTCCCCCAGAGAGTCCCAGGTCCTGGAGCGTAAAATGAACTCTCTGGCCAGCTGAGTAGTCGCTGAACGGGAGACAAACAGTTTTGAATGGGTTGTTCAGACTCTGGGGATGAGTAAGCTCTTCAGAAGGCATGTGGATGTCGCTCTGAATTATGGACGGTAATGAAAGGCGAATGGAAGGGAGCAAAGGACAACGTGATGATGAGTAGACATGGCCCAGGGCTTGCGGTGTTGATTGGCAGGAGCAGTGAGCACAGGCGGCTGAGGGGGCACCCAGGCTAGAGTGTGGGTGCTGGTGTCTCTCTGCCAGGCCTGGGGCATCGAGGGGCAGAGAAGGCAGGGATCCTGACCACAGGGTGCTCACAGTGGGCACCTCATGTGCATGGCTGCCATGTGGGAAATGCTTTCCGGTGCTGCTGCCCTGAGTGGTTCAGAACAGCCTTGCTTCTGGGTGAAGGGGAATTACAGAAGGCGCCTTAGAGAAAGGCACTCCTTCCCCAAGACTGCCATCTGCTGGAAAATGTTCATAATGGCAATGTAAATATTTGGCGACTGTGGGGAGGGGGCCTGGCATCCCCTGAGGTTAGGAATCTGCACAACTGGACGTGGAGCTTCTTGTCGAAGGGCCACAAGACCGAGTTGCCACAAACACCTCTTCCTGTTCCTTGAGGTACTAAGGAACTGAACTGACCGGCCACAGTGGTCACAGTTGGGCCAGACCTCAAATTTACCCGAGGTTCATACATATATGTGCTAGCTTTTTTTTTTTTTTTAACTAACTCCCTTGGGAAGTGGATGGTGGCTTTCTTGATCATGCCTTTTTTTTTTTTTCTTTTGCTGCCTACTTCTGAATAGCTGGTGTCATGTTGCATTGGGACATGGTGCATGTTGCGTCCCATGGGCCTTTGGGGGCCCCCTGCCTCTCTGGCTCATGGCCTCCCTTCCCATTCAGCACGCTCCCTGGTGCCACTGGTTCCCAGTCCTGCTCCTGCCCACTGTCCCTACCCCCCTCCCTGGCCCCACCCCCTTTCTTAAAGATGTAAAGCACTTTGCCCACTGCAAGCATTTTGTCATTCCTTTGGTCCCCTCCCCACCTGCCCTGCCCTGCCACCCCAACCCCCTTCTTGTGAATTGAGACCCCATCCCCAACTAATGTCCTCTCTCCCAACTCTGTCTTTTGATCCAAATCTTTATTAAACTCTGTCTCCTCTCACCTCTCCCATGTCCCTCACAACCGCAAGTAGACCATCAGTTGGTCATCTGCCCAGCACCTGGGAAGCCCTACACTTTGATCTGCAGAGCCTGGTATCTGACCTGGAATTGTGGGGCTCCCCAGCTGCCTCAGGGGACAGTCTTGGAGGGAGACAGGGAGGAGGGAGGCAGTATAGGCTGGTAGTAGAAGTGTAGGCTGGAGTTGGGCTGGTTGAAGGTCAAGTCCAACCCCCTCCTCTAGCTGTGTAAGCTTGAGCAAGCCATTAACCTCTCTAAGACTTGGTTTCCCTCTCTACCCGCTGGATTTAATAATAGCTCTTCCCTTCCAGCATCATCAGAACTAAGTGAGAAAACTCATGGCTCTCATGGAGAAAAACTGTTGGGCTGATGTCAGCCACCATGAGGATGACAACTCGGGCAGCATGTTCTTCATAAAGCCTCGTGCCCACCCTTGTGCCGAAGGGCCGCACAGCGCAGTGGTTAAGGGCACGGGCTCTGGGGCCAGACCTCCTGGTCACAACCGAGCTCCATCAGGGGGGACCTTGGGCAAGTTGTCAGGCAACTCCGTGCCTCAGTTTCCCTGACTGTAAAGTGGGGTTTGGAATGGTAGACACATCACAGAGTGGTGAGGATTAGTAGTTGTGAAGCACTTGCAGCTGCTCCTGCCCCGCCGTGGGCCCTTGGTCACTGCTGGCCTTGCCAAATGGCGAAGGGGCTGTGCGACTCGAGGGAAGGAGTGCAGATGCCAACAGGCGTTTAAACCGCCCGGACCGCCGTCTCGTCTGCAAGTGCTCACAGGAGTGGCAGCTCATGCAGTCACTTCCCAGGGTTGTTTTGGAGACCAAAAGAGGAGCCAAGTCCAGGCCCTGTCTACAGACATCACCATGGTCACCGTGGCTCCACGCCCCCTGTGCAGCTGGCTGGGCGGACGTGTGTCCTGCCTCACCCCATCCTCTCCCACCCTGGGGAGGCGGCCCCCACCCTGGCTGGACACCAGGCCCTTGCCTCACTTTGTGATTTTCCACCTCCAGACGTTTAACGAGTTTGAGATCGAGCAGCACCAGGAATGCGCCTACGACCACCTGGAAGTGTATGACGGCCCCGACAGCCTGGCGCCCGTCCTCGGCCGCTTCTGCGGCAGCAGGAAGCCGGACCCCGTGGTGGCTTCGGGCAGCAGCCTGTTCCTTAGGTTTTACTCAGACGCCTCGGTGCAGAGGAAAGGCTTCCAGGCGGAGCACAGCACAGGTGCGTGAGCCCTGGCCCTGGGGCCTGGAGACAGACCGTGGCGGGGGGTAGGGGGATAAAGGCTGGGAAGGGACTGCCTTTTATCCTGATTGTGTGGAGGGGAGTGAGGTGGGTGCGATCACATGTCCCTCTTAAATGAAACACGGGTAGCAGTAGGGGAAAGGGTTGTTTTCTTTTAAAGTCTTCAACTGACGATGTTAAAGCGGACAACATCTCGTTGGTGACGCATCTCCTCCCCTCCTTCCTCCCCACCGTCCATTCTTTTAAAAATTTATTTATACTTTCGCTGGCCTGTGAAATCCAAACGTCTGGGAGCTGAGTGCTGGAGAGCAGCCCCTTCTGAGGACAAGTTCCAGAAAATGAAAACCATGTCTGTTCCCCCTTATTTGTCCTTCACTTAAAACATAAGTAGCTTTATTCGGTTCTTTGGAGGAAATACAGAAGCTTATTATTATCTGACACGTCTGCTTTGTTAAACAGAAGAATATCAGTGAGAAATTGGCTCTGCTCTTGAGCCATTAAATGTTACTACCTGAGACTGGAACCCCTGGAAGCAACTTGGACCCTTTGATTCTGGCATTAGATGGTGACCCTTCGGCCAAGCGGTGGCTGCTGGCAACCCCCTCAGAGGCTGAGAGCATGGCCCAGGGACCCTGTGAGGTCCTCTGGTCCCTGTAACAGCCCTTCTCTTCAGCTTTTGCTTTTTCAGAGCCAGAAAATATGAACCAGGTAAAACAAAACAATGACCGCGCCCGCAGGCAGTCCAGCCGTCCTTGCCTAGCAGAAAACACTTCATGTCTGCACCCTCTCAGCTCCCTAACGGGCTCTGGCTTCCCAGGGGGAAATTTAAAAGCCACTGACCAGTCACTACTTTACTCTCTTGTCCCTACAGAGAGAACAGAGGTGCCTGAGCGGGTCAGGGTCCTGGCAGGAAATGGGGGTGTGCTCAGATAGAGTTGTTATTTGGGGAAACTTTAATAAGGGACTGTTGGCAAAGAGGTGGGCAGGGATGGGGGACCCCTGAAAAGGACAGCAGAGCCACCAGGGCTAGGAACTGTAGGGCTGTTACTACCCCCAGGCCTGGGTGAGAGAGTAGTTTCTGGAACCTGGGGACAGAAGGGGGCAAGCAAAGGACCCCTGGACAGGAGCTGTGACCTTTAGTTGGAGGACACGGCCTTGACCACCCGCAGGGAAGGAGCCCGGGACCTGACCTCTGACCTGTCTCTGCTCCCTCCGCTGAGCTGCTGGTGCTCCCCATGGCTGGGCCCAACGGGAGGCAGAGGGCAAGGGGCCCACCCACAGCAGCCCGGAGGTCTGCCTCCTGAGGGTGGAGAGGCGACCTGGCAGGAGGGAGGGAAGCCACCCTGCCCTGCTCTGTGCCCAGTCCACAGCCATGTGCACCTAGGGGGTTGAAATTTCTCAGAGACAGCTCCCAACGAGAAGAAATTCTAAGCCACCTGGGCCAGGATGGTGCAGAAGCCACCCTCGGGGCGCTCCAGACCCCTCAGGGGCGTGGAGCACATGAGGACGGACAGTGAGGGATTTGCCCCAGTTTCTGGTGCTTTGTAATCTCTGATCACTGTCATTTATCCATTTGTATTCTGTGGCCTCTAGTGGCCTAGATGCAATATAGCACAGTACCCAGGCCAGCCAGAGTTACGGTTCTAGTGAAAACCCCAGAAACCAGGACACAGAATACAAAGTATGAGGCACAGCTCACTAGTGACATGCCCAGGCCTATCGGTCATCACTGCGACAAGCAGGAACCCCACAGGTCTATTCAGAGGTTCCTAGGTGTCAACTTTGCCAGAGGTGCTGGTGTGCTTTTGGTGCCCTCTTTTGGCGGAAATTACGAATTACAGTAAGTTGATTGGGCTGATGTGAGTCCTTGGCAGATGCTTCTAGCATTTCCAGGGAGTTAAGTGGCCAAGATCCAGGCAGCCAGGTTGTTGGTTTGTTTTGTTTTGTTTTGTTTTGTTTTGTTTGTTTAGCAGTATGCTCAGCTATCCCTGGAGGCCTTATCTGGCCCACCCTGGGGACGTGGGGCCTTGTCTGGTAAGGATCCAGCAGTGAGCCCTGAGACTCAGCCGTGGGCCTCTGTAAAGTGGCATGATGATGAGACTTGCCTGGCCTCTCCCATGGGGCATGAGAGGACTTTGCAGAGAAAGCTGGCCTGTCAGAGGGTGTGGGGAAAGAAGTCCCAGACTGGGAAGTGGGGACGGAGGATGGTCCGTGGGTTCTCTGTGCTGAGGGAGCATCGTGGTTCTCTCTCCGCTCCAGAGTGCGGGGGCAGGCTGAAGGCCGAAGTGCAGACCAAAGAGCTCTATTCCCATGCCCAGTTTGGGGACAACAACTACCCGAGCCAGGCCCGCTGTGACTGGGTGATTGTGGCGGAGGACGGCTACGGTGTGGAGCTGGTGTTCCGGACCTTTGAAGTGGAGGAAGAGGCGGACTGTGGCTATGACTACATGGAGGCCTACGACGGCTACGACAGCACGGCACCCCGGCTCGGCCGCTTCTGCGGCTCTGGGGTGAGTCCCAGCATCGCTGGGCCCCGGGGACGCAGGGGCATCGCCCAGAGCATGCGAGGTGCAGGCGGACCCACCTGGGTGTGAGCCCTGGCTCCCCCGCCACTTGCAGACACCAGCCAGGAGGCCTGCTCTATGGAACAAAGTGGGAAACTGGGAGAACAGTTGAGAGGAGGCTGGGGGGAGGCTGACCCCCAACTCATAAGGGCCAGCCCCTAAAAAGCATTTTTTGTTTAGGACTCGCTTCTTATTTTTGCAAAATGCACCCCCTACCACCAATTTTGTTTGGCTTTTAGGCTTTTAAAATTTCTAAATTATACTCTTATATATCCCATCTCTTTACAATTCTCTCCCCAAGCAAAACCAAATGCTTATGAAAATTATGAATCACCATCTTACCATAAAGACAAAACTATGCTCAAGATCATCATCGTATTTTTCACCATCACCTCTTTCCTGGGCCAGGTTGCTTTTTGTTCACTGCCTCCCCGGCTCCTGCCACAGGGCCTGCCAAATAGCTGGTGTCACTGAAGGAGTCTGGGCCAGCAGTGCAGTGTCCTGGTCCCACTCTGCCTGCACCGCCCCGGTTTCTGCCCACACCAGGCCCCGAGCCCTGTCTTTTTCTCATCTGCAGGGCTCATCATGCAGCTTCTTTGCTATTGGCTGGATGCACAGCCAATCCATGTGGAGTCACTAGTGCTCCTTGTGCTAATCAGAACCTCAAACTGGTTATATGTCTTTGAATGATTCCATCTTTCAGCACCCTCCCCAAAAGAGCGTGTGACGTAACCAGTGCAGTGCCTTCGATAGACGACATCTTTCCAGCTGGGGGTCCACATGCCAACAAAACTTGGGAGTGTCCAGGGCAGTGAAATCTGTGGGGAGTCCAGTTTGGTCCCACTAGAACTAGTGGGCAGCAGCCTCAGAACCTGGCTCCCAGTCATGGACTTCCTGGCAAACCCTTTTTGACACAGGTAGTGGCTCCATGTCTCCTTTTGTCCTTGGGCAGGACACCATCTAAAAATGCCTTTTGCTTTAGGTCTCCCGGGAGACTCGTCACAGTGCTGCCCCTAGAGCTGGGTGATTCTTATACACACTTTGCTATCGGAAAGCCCTGAGCTGGGTCCTGCCCAGTGTGTGAACTTCAGTCTAAGTTTTCCCAAGCACAAAATGGAGCTAACACCCGCCTTGTAAAGTTCAGTGACATTTATGTGAAATATGGTCCAAAAGACCAGAGCCTGGCCCTTCTGTGCACTGAATAAATTCTTTGTGAGCTGGGTGTCTGGGGTTGTCTTTGGAAAAGCAGGGCCCTGGGAGCTCTCTGGAGCAGCATTTGCAATCTTTCCCTCCAAACACGAGCTTGCTTTGATGCCCTTCAGAGTCCCTGGTGCCGGGGGTGCCTTGTGGCCGCATCACCCACCCCGTGTCTTTGGGTAACGTTCTGCCTTGTCCTTACCTTAAACTCCAACCACAGCCACCTGGCTTAAAGGCCCCTGCTCTTCCTTTCCCCTTCCCTCAGCCACTGGAAGAAATCTACTCCGCAGGGGACTCCCTGATGATCCGGTTCCACACAGACGACACCATCAACAAGAAAGGCTTCCAGGCCCGGTACATCAGCACTAAGTTCCAGGACGCCCTGCACATGAAGAAATAACATCGATGCTCTTGGCTGAGATGGGTTTTTTAAAATAAAAATAGCACCTTGTGAGTCTGCCCTAAAACAGTGTACAGTATTTTTCTCAAACAGAACCTCAAAATCTAGTCTTGGAGGTGTGTGTTCAATGAAGTTTGGCCAACAAGGAAGAGAGAAGACGTTCCTTTGATTCCAGCTGCGACATTATCCATTGTGGGCTTTTAAAGAAGATTAAGGTTTGAAGTCACTGATCATTCAAGCAATGCCTGTTATTACCCATTGTCCTTGTCACTCGCTCCTGTGGGGCGAAAGGCCAGCCCTTGGGTCAGTCATCCCTCCATTTCTGGACGTGCTTCCGTAGGTGCCAGTAATGTGACCGTGTCCTGGAGACTCAGGCTGTCTTCCATCCACTCTAGGTGATGAGGGTGAGAGCTGGGCCCTGGCTGGTTTGCTTCTCAGAGCCCTGGCCGGGGACGTGCTAAGCAGGAAGTCTGAGAATATGGACATTGGAACTAAGACAGACATTGCAGTCAGCGGCATACGGAGGGAGCATGCGCATGAGAATTGCTGTCACCAAGTTAGGAGACTGCAAGCCTTTCTCTGTGTTGTTGGCTCTCCCTGCCCCTAGTTTTCCCCCTGTATCCCTATTTGCATCAGAGGGTTAAGGCACCTGTGAAGTCCAGCAGGATATTTGCTGATGCGGGACCCCAGCTTGCCGAGAAAACGTCCTGGCTTGTCGTTTTGATACTCCTTTGCTCACCGACTCGGAGAAGACTCCACCTGTGCACTGGGGGATTCCACGGGCTTAGGACCTGCCTTCCTCCAGCTGTGGAGGTGCCGGCTGTGGTTGACCTTGACTCTTTGACAACCAGTTCAAACCGCATTTGCAAGATGTGCAAAGACATGAAGGCCCAGCTCAGGTCCCTGGTCGGGTGAACCCTGTTGAAAACTGGTTAATTATAACTTATGGAAGAATCAACACCTTGTGGAACAAGTTCACCTTGTCTGACCCCTGTAACCAATTGGGTTAAAGACTGCACTGGTGACTGCTCAGACGGACTGGCATCTCATCACCAGCTTGCAATCAGAACTCACCACACTTGGCACTTGTTCTAGAGAAGTGTAGAGGATGTTGTTTACATAATTTTAGAACCTCCAGGTAAACTTTAAATAGTGAGGTAGTTTTGAATGGCATTTCATTAAGGCGTCTATGGGCATTATGAGCTAAAAGCTGTGGTATGTAGCTTTAAAAGAGTATTTATGTCAGGATCACTTTAAATGCTGTTTACAGAGCTGTGAGTCCTGTGTCGTGGGGTGTTGGACACAGGACAGAGTCCCAGAGAATTTTCACTGAGAGCGCAGACAACTCCCCAGCGCCGGAACTCCTCTGGGCTGAATGAGCATTATGTTAACAAAGTATTTGCAAAAGATTAAAGGTTATATTTTTTAAAGATCGGAATATGCCCCCAGAGGACTATGTCTAACTAAAATATTGCTGGGAGTAAAAAAGAAGGAAAAAAAGAGAATAATAAAAAAAAAGGTGGAAAATGCACGGAAACATTTTTCCTTATAACAAAAAAATCAAACTATTATGATGAATGATAATATATGTCTGTATATATATATATGTGTGTATGTATGGGAAGGATCAGCTGTCAGAGCCTTAAATCAGTGCAGGGTGAGAGCGGCCGGCCCACGGACCATAGCTGTACAGAGCTGGCCCTCCTGGACCTGCGGCTCACTCGTCTCCTCTACCCGGCTCGCTCTCTTGGCCTCCCTGGGCCCGGTGTGGAGGCTCAGCCTGCATCCTCGTGTTGTGACAGAGGGCAGACCCTGCCCCAGGAATCTTCGGTTCAGCAAATGGAGCAGCTCATCTCGTGATCCCCGTCTCACCTGCCTGTGAGGGTGGATTCCATTTCCCTGATTTCTATATTTTTGTGAGGTTTTATTTTTGCCTCAGCTTATCTGTCCAAGTTAAAACTGGAATCAGGATACGTACAGTGGCTGTTAAGGGTTTCTCTCCAAAGACACGAAAATTGTGTTTTTTCAACCTGTAGAGGCCAAAAAAAGATTAACCAATTCCCTAGGAAAGCGAGAGGGAGTCAGATACAGCCAGCTTTGCCTCAGTAAATGCTCCCCAACCCCCAGCGGAACAATGGGACTAATTTTTATCTCTTTATATGGGTATTTTCATAAATACACAACTTCAACAATTACCAACCTATGGCCAATTTGAAACAATGGGAGTCTTATGAAATCCTTCAGCGAGGCCTTCTGGGAGTGACGTATTCCCAGCAAAGACAAGCTCCGATTCAGCCGGAGCTGCCCAGATCGCTCCCCCGGAAGCTCCCGCGCAGGGGACTTCTGCACAAAGCAGGCTCTGCAAGAGTCCGCATGGCTGGCTTCATGCAGAAAAGTCCCTTCAGATGAGGGGTCCAGGCCCCCTTCCCTGGCTCTTCCAAATTCTCAGTGACCTTCCTCCACACACCCCTGGATTCAGAGGAAGGTTCCAGGGGACATTGCTGCAGCCAGCTTGGTCCTTTCACTGGGTGCTGGGCCCTGGGGATGTCACAGAGCTCCAAGACTGGCTTCAGTTCAGAGAATCACCTTGACAACCTGATGAAATATTCATGGCCCTGGTCTTCAGCCTGGTCCAATGCCAGTGTAATCTGGGCTAGCGGGAGCCAGCACCTGGGCCCCCAGGGCAGGGGGAGGGTCTGGAAGTAACTCTACCTGCAGAATTTCTCCCAACAGAGAACACGAGTCTGTGCATTGGTTCCCTGGAGCTTTATTTTCTTCCAAAGTGAAGTTTCCTGTCACTCGTGAAATGCTCACGCTGGTTCAGTCGTTTGTAAAATCTCGTTAATTGGCAAGGTCGCCCAGGGACTTGCCAGGGATCCCGCCCCTTTGAGGAGTTTCCCATAAGTCCTGGCGGCGGTGCTCAGTTTGGGAACCTCTTCCCATGGCTCCGGCAGGTGTCTTTCCAGTTTCCTCCATGGACGGAACTTCCCAAAAAAGAATCCCAAATGCCTAAGAGTTTTCTGTAAAACAAAGAAGAAATGGAAAGCTGTTTAGAGTGTTACCTATAAATATACGGTACTCTTTATTTTGTGTAGTTTTCCATTTCATGAGGTGTTGTCAGTTTCAAAGAGAAAGCAGAGAGGAGCAGACATGTCTCTGTATAGAAAGACTCGTTTCATTAAAGAATGTGCATTGATTGACGTGTCCTGGGTATGTCTTACCCGTTGCGGCAAGGTTGGCCCTCCAACCTATTGATGATTTTCTCCAATACCACAAGAACTTGGGGAGCGTAGAAAAAGGGGGTCCTTCACAGTGTCTGACACAGGCACAGAGCTCCCTGTGGGACCCAGAAAGTCACAAGCACAGCGAAGGTGGCTTCAGAGTGGCCCCCTCCCTTGGACCCGAACAGGCCGGAAGTTTGACGATGTGATTACTGTGGAGCTGGTTGCTCCTACAACCAAGGGTGTAGATGAGGGGTCATCTGCCGTTTGTCCCTCGGGACCTCTCTCCACTCGTCTCCCCGCAGTTTTGTGCCCAAGGACTACAGCCGACATTAACATCGAAGGTCATGGCTCCTAGAAGGTGACCTTTTCTCTCTGGGCTCTGGCAGCCACTCCTTCCACTTGCCCCTTCAGGTCCCCGGGTGGTAAGGACACTGCTGGCCTAACCCAGGGGCACTGCATTATTTGCCCCCCCCCAGGACTTTTATAAATAGTCCTTTTAACAAGCCCCACCACCCTAGATATAGCAAATTGAGTACATCACTCATTTCCTGTGGGGACCCTGACAGACAGAGGATGGTTTCGAACTCAAGGACAGAGACTCCATGTAACTGAGAACAGACTTTGTAGGTTGACCAGAAGAAGAGAATTTTAGGTACGCTCGGAGTTTTGTGGGTCATATCAGGGAAGGGTAGTTAGTAAGGGAACGTGTTTTTAAACACACTCAGAATTAATGCCAAACTACTCAACACAAGCCAGTTTTGTACTGTCTGTACAGTGTCAGGGTTTTATGGCTTTTCTACCTTTTGTGGTCACCGGTACCTGAAGGATGAGCCCCAGGTGTGCAAGGGCACACCTGCTCGATGCATCAGCAGGGTAAGGCAGTGCATGGGCAAAACACCCCCCGACGTCAGGGGCTTTCCATAACCAGGTTTGTTTCTCGTTCAAACTACGCACCCATTTCCAGTACCAGGCAGCGTCTCCCTGACCATCAGTCAGGTCTGGGCCTGGCTGATGGCACCTTGCTGGCCCCTGTGTCAGGTGGAAAGGCGGCATGGAGGACCTCATGCCGGCGTTCGCAATGACTGTGCGTGGCGTCTCGCTTCTACCCACGTGTCACTGGCCAGAGCAGGTCACCAGGCTGCTCCTGACTTCAGGCGAGGAGCGATGTGAGCTAGAGACACCTGGTGGGTTCCCCCCCACCCACCGCCATGGCTCTCACTGTGACGGTCACAGGCAGGGTAATGACCCGAGTGCTGCTGCCAAACATTTCATGTCATCGCTACCTCCTCACTGCCATTTTAGATAAAGATTTCAGCAGTTAGAATAATGCCACCTATCACTTAGGAACCGGCTTTTAATTTTTAAATTTTTATTTATTTAATCCTCACCTGAGGACACTTTTTCATTGCTGAGAGAGAGAAAGCCATCAATTTGTTGCCTCTTGTTCATTGATCCCAACCAGGGATCAAACCCGCAACCTGAGTATGTGCCCAGACCGGGAATCAAACCTGCAACTTCTCAGTCTATGAGATGAGGCTCCAACCAACAGAGCCACACCGGCCAGGGCAGAGTGGACCAACTTTTTAAAATGACCAGTTTAAACTGACCATTCTTGCTTTAAGCAAGCAAGCCATCAGTGTGCCTGGGCTTGTACAAATGTTAATGGTGGCATAATAGCGATGATCAGAGAATCTCAGAGTCGGTGGCCCTATGCTCCCACCTGCTAAGGGCATTCCTTCTGCAATATCCCAGGAAATAATCCTCAGCCTAATACTTCCGGAGGGGGACAGCCCACCCACTCCACCCTTCTTTGGGGGATGGTGCCAAGGTCCTTTTGCAGAACCACTGCTTCTCACATCCGAGGGTCCTGCACCGGGCAGACTGCAGCCAGGTGGCAGGTCCTCTTTGGACGCAAGACCCGAGCCAGACCGGAAGACCCTCTTCCTGGAACTGGAGTCTTGATCGAGGGGAGAGGGGCTGAAATATTTTGGAGCTCATTCCTGCGGGAGGATATCTGGAGCGGACGGCCTGGGAGGCGGCCCTGCTGCACAAGCCTCAGGAGCAGCCTGGCGCTGTCCTCCCAGAGCCCGGTTCCCGGCCGAGCTCCACTACACCCAACCAGTTAAGCCCCCTTTTCCCAGTCAGAGCCTGTTGTCATGCTCGTGGTCAGGGGCCCATGACCTTCCCAGACACCTAGTCCAGGGCACCGCCCACTAGCGGTCACGGCATTCTTCGGAAGGACTGACATGTTCACTGGAGTGAGAGTCGGTGATCAGTGGGTGCCTGGCCGACAAAAAGTCAGAAAGGGACCTCGCCGGCCTTGCCCACCACAGACAGCCCGACCACAGGGCCCTGGGACTGCGAGCTGAAGTTCCTGGGTCCAGCTGTCTGGTCCAGGTGTGGTTCTAGGCCCACTGAGCAAAGTCAGAAACGTAATTTGTTCCAGATGTGCTCATTTAGGTAGTCCAGTCACTGTCAACAGAACCGTCCCCATTTTACAGGTTGGGAGGGAGGCTGGAAGGAGTGACTCCCTTGCCTCCGACCACGCCGCTTCCGGAAGGGAGGCCAAGGCTCTCAATACAGACTTGCCCGGACTGTGTCTCCATGGTGCCTGGGTGCTGATAGGTTCAATGTAGACATCACCTTGGGAACTGGAACCCCCCCAGGCAGAGACCACGTTGGTCTCATTCGGGTCAGTTCCCCGCTGTCTGCATCCCACACCCCACATCTGCTTCTCCAGTTTGGCCAGACTAAGCAAACGGGCCTCCCCCTGCAGTCCAGCCCCCAAACCAGGGGTGGGCTTCTCTCCACTCTCGCCCTCACCTTCTCTCCCGTCCCCTGCCCCACATTTTTTCCCATCATAATCTCATTGCCTCTGCTTCCACAATAAGCCCCAAACCCACTGACTGCTGCCCATTCCCACTGCCCCAACCCAGGGCAGCTGCCGTTGCCGCTCACTTGGACTCTGCGAACTGGTGTCGGGTTCACACTCTTGTCCCCTGTGATCCAGGCCCCACAGAGAGGCCCGCTGATCTTTGTCAGCATCACTTAGATCAGGCTCCCTTCCCATGTAAAACCCCTGAAAGGCTCCCCACTGCTCCACAGTAGGAACCTTACCTGCCCTAGTGCGCTCACACCTCAGGTCCCTACGTCGATCTGTCTTTAACTCCTTCCCCAGGGTTTTGCCTTTGCTGTTCCCTTTGCCCAGGACTCTCTTCTCATCTTTCACATGCAGCTTCAGTGTCATCTCTCTGGACGTCAAAAGCAACTGCTTCCGGGTCACTGCTCCTTCTTCCCTACCAGCCTGTTTGCTCCTCCACAGTGACCGCTGTCTGTCTGTCCTCACTGGGTCCTACAGTCCCTATGAGTTGGGGCCTCACTTGTCTTGGTCATCATTTATTTCTGAGAGCAGTGCCCAGAATCATAGAAGGTATCAAAAAGATATGTTAACTAGATGAGGAAATACACTCATTTAAATAATCGAATTGATTGGTCCTAACCCCGTTGTTTTGTTGGCACATGACCCTGACTCCTTCACGGTTTTAAAGAACCAAACTCCTAGCAGAGAACTCATAAGAAATAAAAAGCCACCCAAGTCAAAAGCCTCCTCCCACTCTAGCAGGGTCCCCATCAGAGTGTGAGAGCAGAAAGGGGTGAGGCCAGACTCACCAACAGGCAGCTCACTGGCCAGGGAGTGTGTCCCCTGCGGCAGCTATAGTCTTGCCGCAAGCACAGAGCAGGTCCCACCCCTGTCCCGGGCATCCTCTGCAGGGATGCTGGGGCTGTGCCAACTCCATCACGGCTGGGATGCCGCCGCCGGCCTCCGGGCCGCCTCGGCCTCAGTCACCCATTGTTCCTAGACACCTCCCAGCTGCAGGAGCCTCTGAGCCTTCCATCCAGCTCTGGGTTTTTTTCTGAGTTGGAGGTGTCATCGAGAAAGGGACCTGACAAGTGAGAAGGACAGGAAGTAAAGGCAAAGAGGGTGGGTAACCCTGGCCACACACAGTGGCGGTGGAGCAGGAGACCGTCTTCCCCGAGGGACGGGCCGAGGACTTGGCTACTCCCCTGACCATAAATGGCTTGGCCAGGGCTCTCTCAGAGCCACCTCTTGCCCTGTCCCCCTTGCTTGCCCAGCTGGATGTCCCTACAAATGCGAGGCACAAGCCAGCGACTCCAGAGAGAAAGGAGTTTGCTGAGGACAGCGTTTGGAGGAGGGTCTCAGGAGGCCGTCGGGATGGTAAGTGGTAGCCAGCGTCTCTGGCCCGGCCTAAGCTTCATCCTCTCCCTATAAAAGCAACTCCCAGGCTTTTAAAGCTGACATCTCTAATTCTCATATGACATTTTCCTCGGTATGATAAAGTCAGGGGGATTGGTTTTCAATTCTTTTCCTCTGTACAAGATACTAATCATTTTTTGTAAAATTCTCGCCAACTATTTGCTGATCTCATCTTTGATTTTAACATTATGGTCTTGTCTGTAACACCCCACATACAGTGAGGGTACGGAGCAGCTGTTTCGGCTGAATTCACTTCCCAGGTGCAGCAACGGGCCCATCCTCGCCTTCCTCCCTAGTGCTCAGTCCGCCTTCTGCCCCCTGATCAGCAACGTGGAGATTCGTCCACGGCGAAAGAAACTTCCCACCTCTTTTTACTGACTTGCAAACGTATTTGGTTGCGACTCACTCAGATGAAGTTTGCTAAGTGAAGCGGGAAGACGGAAGGGGCCTCTGAGAGTCTTTACAAGAGATGATTAAAAGGGGTGGGGCTCAGGCTTTGGAGTTTGGAGGATGCGCAGTCTGACCCACCCTCTGCCACTTGGCAGCTGGTGACCCGCAGAAACCTGCCTGGTCTCCGTCCCCACACACACACACACACACACACACACACACACACACACACACGATGTGGGGAGCAGAGCTCGCCCTCCCTGCGCTGGTGTCCGAGGCGCAGCACGCCCTCCGTGACAGTGCGCGATGACCCCTCCTCCCCCTCACAACAGCGACCTTCTGTCCAGGGCTACCCTCTTCTAACGAGAGACCCTAACGTACCTTCGGGCCCATCCCGCATGTGTTTTGTTGTGCTCGGAGGAACAGTGAGTGCATTTGAGCAGTAAGTGTGTTGTTCCGAATTCCAGTACTTTGAGTAAGGCCGATCCAGGTATGTGCTTCCATCTGAGAAAGAGCTCCCTCGCGACTTCCTCGTGCCCGGCTCCGTGCTGGCCTGTTCAGGAAGACTATGGCCCCACATAGGCCTAGAGTGCTTTACGGTGCGGATGGAGCTGCCCAGGTGTTACGTCCTTTGGACTTATCCTGTGAGGTGGGACGGGGCACGCTAATCATACCCCAGCTTTGAATATGGAAAACCAGAACCTGGGAGGGCAGAACCGCTGTGAGGAAATAGAGACCAGAGAGTGTGAGTCACTTTTCCAAAGCCACACAGCCCTGCCGTGGCTCAGTCTGGACTCGGATCCGGACGAGGTGCCTCCAGACCCAGAGTTGCCTCACCCCACCCAGCTGCCCCTGAAGAATACTGCGTCACACTCTTCTCCACCCACATTTATGCGATGTTTTTCTCTCCATGAGAGCACCAGAGTGTGTTTCTGCAAAACACGAATGTCTCTGTGAAACTGGCCAAAACCTTCGTCATCCAAGTATTGATAAACAGCACGCGCAGTGGCCTGCGTGTTGCTGCCCCTCCCGCCTGCTGGGCCCCAAAGGAGGCTTTGTGTTGGGCCTGCTGACCTCAGTGCCCAGCACTCACGGGCGGGATGAGGCTCTGGGCAGCTGTGTCCAGAGCGGTGACCTTGCAGTGTCTGTTGGCTTGGTTAGTGTTAGCAAGCAACTGTGATGGTTTGGTCCCTTGAGCAAGAGGACCCTGAACTGTGGTGGCCCAGATGTCCCTCTTGCTCTCATGTCCTAGAACAGTGTCTATCTGGTTTCAGGAAGGAGTAGCCTGGAAAGGGCGGCACTGACGAGCCCAAACTACAGTGAACGAAGACGAAGACGGGAGGGGGAAGGGGCCGGCGGAGGCCCTTGGCAGGGCCTGACCCAGGCAGTGGGCTCCGGGCAGGCTAACAATTTGGTGCCTGTTGAGCCCACGGACTTTAAATACTGACTCCATATGTGGGGGAGAGGTGAGACTGGGTGCTGAGTGGGGAGGGTGGGGAAGGGTGAGCTTCTCTCGGTCGTCCTGACCAGCCCGGCTCCAGCCTGGCTCCAGCCCAGAAGCTACGCTTTGGACTCAGCAAAAATGGCAGCCTTGTCTTTCTCAGGTTCTCTCACCTGGGCAGGGGATGCAAGGAGCAGGTGTTCTCGTTGGAGCAGGTCCCTGGGCGGGGGGCAGGGGGAGCGTACTTCCTAACCCAAGCGGCAAGTACCAAGTATTTCTGAATTCACACAGTTCCCTCCCTTGGAAGAATTCCAGGGGGGAAAGAAACTATGTTCAGCACTTTGCGGAATGTCTAGTAATGGTTCTATTGCCCGGTGGATTGGGGTCCCTCAGGCAATAGCCCTGCTGCCTGGCCCCGTAGTCCGGCCCTGGTGGAGGACCGGGGAGGGGAGAGGATGCAAGGCTGCCCTGATGCTGAGGGCAGACGCCGTGACCTCAGGCTCGTCTGCTCGCGTGCCCTCTCTGGGCCACGATTGGGAGCGGACGTGGGCAGACTGAGACTAAGGGATCGGTGAGTGCTCTTAGAACCCGTGGGGTCAGTGACGTTGGGCGGAGGGGCGGAGGCCTGGCTGACCATTCCCAGGACCTTTAGAGTTTTGTTCTCCTTTGCAGAGTTTTTCACTGAACTTCACGTTGCCAGCCAACGTGGTAAGTACGGCAGCCCCTGCTCGTTCCCCAAACACGGGTGCAGAACGACCCGAGGCCCCCAGAACACTGCCACAGGAACTCCACGAACAGCGGTGAGGCCCACTCTCCAGAGGCACTTAGGAGGAGCTGTGGGCTGCCGCGGGAAGTTTTTTCAGTGCTGAAAGTGTAAACACACAGTTCGAAAAGGCAAATAGCAAAAAAGAAGGAAACTTCGCCTATGTTCCCGTGAGCAGAAAATGCCATTCCTTCTGGTCCTGGTCGACTCCAGGGCAATGCTGACTTTCATTGTCTTCGTAACACTGTGTTCTTACCGTACACACAACTTTATGTAAGTGTTTTCCATCAGCCTTTACAACCACAGCTGAGGATGGCCGCATGATATTTCTTCAAGAAAGCTATGTTCTGAGTTGCATAATCATGATTAGGAGTAGTTTTGTGGTAAATACAGGTGTAGATGAATCCCCGTCTGTGCTTAAGATGATTTCTTTTGTACATAGTCCAGAAGGGGAATTGTGGGGGTCAACGAGTTTGAACACTTTATGGCTCTTGATCATGACATTCAGCTGCAAGTGGAAGTGGCAACTTCGGTGGGTGGTGGCGCACAGTTCGCACCCAGACATGACCGTCCGTCTCCACTCTCTCCTCGAGTGGGGATGACGCAGCCGGGGCTGTGTTCTGAGCAGCAGTGCTGCTGTGATTCCGCGAGGCATTTTCCTGGCCTGGTTTGTAGTGGATTGGGCTGCACCAAGTGTTTCTGATGCACCAAGTCACATGGTTATTTGAAGAGAATAAACTGAATCTACCCGGTAAGAGGGCACCTGAGCCGGGGCTCAGTCTCCAGGAACGTGAGGGCACTGTTCTGGAGAGCAGCAGGAAGGATAGCCTTGTCACTCACTGCCAGCCTCCTGCTGCCCCCTGCTGGCTGCCTGGGAGTCTGTTTCCCCCCCTCCCCTGGCACCCGCCACACTCTCCTGGTGGGATCCTGCTTCTGAACCCCCTTGACTCGCCCAGTTCCCTGCTTCAACAGCCTCTGCCTGTTGTTTGCAGACAAATTCCCCACTCCCTCTCAACTGTCAAAACCTTTTAATATGGTTACTGCTGGAACTTTCCCCCTTTACTGCTTAAACTCAGCAGTTCTGTAGAGACCCCGGGTTCTGTCTTATCCTGGCTAGGCCCACCCTTGAAGACAACTTGCCTGGGTCCCTGGCCTTAACACCGAATGTGCTACGACCCAGGCAACCTCTCTGGAAAACCAGGACAGGTGGTCACGCTGCCTGGCAGTTATGTCTCCACCAAGTGACCTTCCTTTTTGGTACAGTGCCTGGGAAGGGGACAGAGGTAGACACCTGGCGCATCAGAGCCTCTGTGGGGAGCAGGGAGCAGGGAACAAGGCCGCCCCGGCAAGCTGGCCCCTGAACTGTCAAGTACAAAAAGTGAATTGGGGTTTTGCAACAGCAGTTGAGAGCTTGGACCTGGGCCAGACCACTCAGCATTTGCCTCTCAGGGCTGTGTGACTTCACACAGGTTACTTCATTTCTCTGTGTCTCACTCTTCTCATCTCTAAAACGGGGGTCACGGTAGTCCTGTTTCCCTGGCTGTTGTGAAGGACAAATGAGCAGTCACAGGAACCGTCCATGAACAGCCTGACATATAGTGAGCCCTCCACGAGCATCAGCTGGTATGATTGGCAGGTGCTCATGAGGCCAGGAAAGCTCATCGGCAGAGAGAAGAAGGAAGTAGGCAGATGGAGGAGCGCAGGGGAAAGGCCATGTGCCCTGGAGAGGTGAAGCGACCCAGGAGAGATGGCTCTGGTCCTGACAAATTCCCAGTCTCTCAATCCCTGAAGAAGCCAGATTTCTGTTGTTTTGGGGTTCCATGGAGTACCCCCATGAATGCTTAGAGTCAACTCCTTTTGCGGGAATCAAATCCAGCTGAAGAGAATTTATATAAGAACACCTTACCTGAAGTTAGACTGTTATCACAACCTGGAGAAATGGAACACTTTGGGCCAGTGCAGCACTAAGGTAATATGGTGGCGGGTGGGGTGACTGTGTTTAGGTAAAACTGTAGCCACATAAGTACCAAATGTCAATGCCTCCTTTATCATGTTTCTCTTTTGCTGGGAACTCCCTGGGTAAGAGACCTAGGCATGGAATTCAAACACCCAAGTTCAGGGTAGACTTGTAGTTGTCTGTGGAGCCTTGAACAAAATCCCATAACTTCTCTGAGGTCTAGTTCATTTTTTGTGAAATAGCAACAAAAATTGTCAAAGCCCCAACCCCAGGGACTCCAAAGTATTCACGAGGTCGATGAGAACATTCATTGACAGGCGTGACCAGAGTTTTGCCCAGTTTAAAGGAGTGACAAAACCTCGGTGCCCATGACAACTCTAGAGGGGGCACTAACAGTCCTACTTCACAGATGAAGCCCGAATCCTTATCCTGCTCCGGGCTCTATTTGCTCATTTTGCATACGTGACAGGAGGCAGGCAGTTCATTGAAGTCGTCCCATGTGCTGTGCTTTTTCTCTGGGCACTGTAGACCCCCTCCCCTTCCAGGCCTTGGGATGAACACAAGGGCTCAAAGTTTTCCTTTTCCCAGCTGGTGGGGATGATACACACAGACTTTCAAGGGCTGCCCCCCAGCACTAACGTACTTCACGGGCGTGGTTTGGGACGCCTGGCAGCCTTATCAGACCAGGCTCAGGACACCTGGGTCAATGGGCGAGGCACGCCCTCCTTTGCTTTCAGCTTCCTGTATTAAGTTCTTTGTTAGATTGCAATGGCGAGGACCCTGCTTTCATTTCCCCCTCTGGCAGCCCATTCCTAGCTGCTACCTGAGTGTTACAAGGCGTTGCCTGGCAACCAGGACATAGCTGCTGGCCAGCAACAGCAGCAGCACAGCAGTCTCGGAGCTCTTCCTATGCTACTTCCTGCAACAGTGGTCATTCATTGTTTTCAATAGGACATTTGGCAAAGGGTGAACTTTAGGCATTATAGCTTCACCTTTGACAGACTGGCCTGTATAGTATTGGTTCCACAAATTTGTTTTCTTAAGCTGTATGTTCTTTTCCCCACACAGACGTCCTCTCCAGTCGTTACAGGTGGGAAAGAAGCAGTAAGTATGTCGCTTAAATTTCGGACCATGGTTTGGTCACCTATAAAACAGGGATAACAGGGCTCTCCCCACCTTGTGCATTTGTTTGGAGGAGTAGACAGATCTGATGTGTGAACTGTTACCAGGCACAGAATCTGACTCAACTATTATTTTTACAACCAACTCAGCTCAGAAATGAGGGAGAGTGTGCAGATTACAGACGGGTTTCACGATGTGTTGAGCAGAAGAAGCGACACACTTGGGTTCTGGAATGACGTTCTGTTCAGCGTTGTTCTGTGGTAACACTGGAGAGAGGCTGCAGAAACTTAACTCTTGCTTTTATTGATCAGTCCGTGGTGAAACTGGTTTCACTGCACTCTGTTTTACCACGAGGACCCAGCCAGGGTGTTTAGTGAGGACTTGCTGTGCTTGCTTTCTCGGTGCATCTAGATGATGCTGGAAAAAGACAGATCTAATCTATGGTGACAGATTCCAAAATAGCCTTACACACAGGCTGACTAGAACGGAGCATGAGGGGCTTCTGGGGGCCGGTGATGTTCTGGTTTTCATCTGAATGCTGGCGCGTGGGTGGGTTCCTCGTGTGAGAAGTCATCAAGTTACATACTTTTGATTTATATACTTTCCTGTATTTATGTCTTATATGAGGATCCCATATTTATATGGATTCTGCAGATCACCTTTGATGTTTCCAGATGACTTGCAAATCCAAAAACTTATGCAGCTATTTCCACTGAGATCAACACAAAATGGGAATTTGAAAATTAAGTGGTTAGTGCATTTAGTGTAAATAAATTTAAAACATTCCCATTAAAATGGTGCGGGATGTAAGAAAACTTTTCACTTTTTGCCAAACTGCTAGGTAAAAATGACATCTAACTGTTGCTTTGGGTTGTATCTCAGCTTTTCAGCGTTGACGAGAACTCTGTACATCTGTTTCTAGGAATGTCCTGTTCATCTCTGTTGCCCATTTTCCTACTGGATTATCACCCTTTTCTAATCGGCTTAAACTATGTAAATTGAGTCCTATGAAAATGAGTCATTTGCCATGTAGACCGCAAACATTTTTCACAATATCTCATTACACTTTTGATTTTGTACGACACTTAGGGTCCTTGAGTTGTAGCGTTTTATTTTTCACTGATCAACCCTTTCTTCAATTCCCAGAGAACCTGACTCTACTTCTCTCTGTGTCAGGACTGCGGGCCCTCCCTGGGACTTGCCGCCGGCATCCCATCGCTGGTGGCCACGGCCCTGCTGGTAGCTCTGCTGTTCGTGCTGATTCACCGGAGAAGGAGCAGCAGCAGCGAGTCTGCCGAGGTGACTAGCAGCCTCTCGGGGTCTGGGCATGTGTGCAGGAAGAGGTATTTCCATGAGTTTGTGTCTGTTTCCTGAGGACACGACAGTGGATGCTCCTGCACCCCGATTTCTCATACTCAGGCCATTATGCTCCAGCAGAGCTGATTTGTCATGTGGCCTTGAGGGCGGTGTTTGGGGTAGCAGAGAGTAGCAGTGAGGAGGGACGTTTGTTGCCAAGGCAGACACCTGTCTATACAGTGGATGTTTTTTCTCAAGTTGACAAACAGAAGAACCCAAGCTTCATAGAGAGGATGGAGATGATCTTGGCAAAGGCAGGAACACACAGGTGCTGAGGCATGTGGGTGTCCAGAGGGTCTGGCTCTGCTGCCCTGTGCCCTTTTCCACATCAGGATGCACCTCAGTCACACAGGAATTTGCCCACCCCACCCATTCCAAAGGCCAGGTTGCTCTGGCGGCCACGTCAGGGCTGGAAGACCACCCAGAGCCACATCCAGCGAGGTCCCAGGGTTATACTGCGCTCTGTCACGTGGGTTCTGGGGTCTGATTCTGTCCCCAGTTCCTGAACATTCCTGGTGCACTCACAGTGGTGAGCATTCCTGGGGAGGTGGAAAACCCAGGTTCCAGCCCTGCTTCTGCCAAGTTATCACTTACACGATCCTGGACAAGGGACTTGACCTTTTCTGTGTCTTGATTAGGTCAACTTAATGGGAGTTGTAACAACTACCCTCCTATTTTAGGAGGCAGGCAAATTTGCAAGGAAGAAATGAGGTCTTGGCTGTAAAGATGTGTTGACAAGCTATGAATTATTACCATTAAGAAGTATTGTGGGTGCTGGTGGTGTATTTTTATTTGGGCAGTAGTTTCTCAACCTTCTGTGAATTTTAAAATCATTTGGGAGGTTATGAAAATACCAGTTACCAAAACCAATTGAATCAGCACCACTGAATAACAGACCGCTGGCGTTTGTCTTTAAAAACACAACTTTTTATTATAAATAATTTTAAGCATATACTGAAGTAGAGAGAATAAGATAATTAACCTAACTATCAATTTGTGTGATTGTATTTCATCTCTACTCCTCCCCGCCTCTCTACCCTGCCCACCCTGGGTCATTTTGAAGTAATTCACGATGGTGTGTCTTATTTATGTTTTGGAAGGAGACAGTTATTCTGTTTGCTTATTTTTCTTTGTTTTCAAAGTTCTCTGGTGGTTGTAATGTGATTGTAAACCTAAGTGTGAGCACCACTGATTTTAATCATGGTCATGGGCAAATTCTGTGACTCTTTCTTCCATCTGTTCTTCCTTCCTTCCTTCCTTCCTTCCTTCCTTCCTTCCTTCCTTCCTTCCTTCCTTCCTTCCTCTCTCCCTTCTTCCCTCCCTTTCTTCTTTCCCACTTAGGAAAGTGAGAGGCCATGTGAAATTTCAGAAATTGATGACAATCCCAAGATAGCAGAGGTAAGGACTCTTGGTTGGAATCACTCGGTATCACAGCACAGCACACACACCTGGTGAAACCAGGGTGTCAGGGCCGTTTCCGCTGCAGGAGACGCGCGGCGTGAGCGCAGGTGAAGAGGAGACGGCTCGGGGGAAGCTCAGGCATGAAGGAGGCTCTCGGTGTTTATATTGGCTGGACAGGAATTCGGGGTTGGTTCAATACTAGAAAATCAATTTAATGTGATTTATTTTCCTGACAAATTAAAAGAGAAAAATTGTGTGACCATCTCAATAGGAAAAAAAGACTTCGAAAAAAATGTAACCGTCATTTATCATGTGAAAACTCTTAGCAAACTAAAAACAGAATAGGAACTTTCTTAAATTGAATGGAGATATCTTTGTTAAAAAATTACATCAAACATCATACTTAAGGGTAAATTATTAATGAATTCTCTTTAAAATCAGAAGTAAACCAAGGACACTCACTGGTACCACTTAGTTGACACTGAGCTTTAGGCCCTAGCCAATGCAATCAGATAAGAAAAAGAAGAAGGGAGTATGAGAATGAAAAGGAAGAAACAAAACTTTCATTATTTTCAGATGATATGGTTAACAACAGATAAATTGTTAGAATTCTTTGTGATTTGAATAAGTTCACTGGATGCAAAATCAGTATACAAAAGTAATTTGCATTTCTAAAAATGAATAAGAATTAGAAAACATAAATTTTAAAAATAGCATTTTGCAGTGGCAATAAAAAATATATAGAATGCTGAGGAATAAATCTAAGAAAAACATATAACTTTTTTTATGGAGAAAAACACAACTTTAGTAAAAGATATTACATAAGACCTAAATAATGAAAATGTTGGTATACACCATACTCCTGGGTAGGAAAACTCAGTAGCATAAAGATGTCAAACAACCTAAGATTAGTCTACATAATAAATGTAATTTCAATATAAATCCCAACAAATTATTTTCATGGATCTTAAATAAGGCACTTCTAAAATCTATATCGGAGAAGGCAGAAAAACGATTTAAAAAGGAATGATGAACGGATGGAACAGAAAACAAGTAGCAAGATTTAAAACCAATCATGCCAATATCCCATTACATGTGGTTGATATAAATACCCCGATTAAAAGGCAGAGATCTTCAGTTGTATATAAAGCCCAGATACAACTCCATATTGCCTGCTAAAACTCACTTTAGATATAAAGACACTAGTGGGTTCAAAGTGGAAGGACAGGAGAACAGACACCACGCTGACATTGTGCAAAAGAATGACGAGTGACCTGCAAACCTCCCCCGGCCCCACCCGCAGCAGCCGGCTCGAGCAGCTGTGGGCCCGCCCTTGTTTTCCGTCTCTCAAGGATCCCTGTCCTTCCTGGCCTGACCTCCAGTGTCTTAAAAACTACGGTTTTAGATGGTTTGTCTGAATTTTGGTTGCGGTAGGTGGGAGGGTCAATCTGGTTTTTGTTGCCCCTACTTGGCCGGCCACAGAAGTCTTTGCTGTGTTGACTTTTAAAACCCGTTTGTGTCCTCCAGAATCCTAGGCGAGCACCCACATGTGAGGAGGATATCATGGGAGCAGAAGCAGCTCACATATACGTGAGGACGGTAGCAGGGAGTGAGGAGCCCGTGCGGGACACCTACCTTCCCACGGCAGAAATGGAGAGACGGCGGGGACTGTGGTGGCTCATCCCCAGGCTGAGCCTGGAATGATGCGGCTCGGCCAAACCACAGAACTGGAGCTGGGACAGAGCTGGGAACCCGGGGGCTCGTGCTTGGAGTGAGCAGAGAGGCTAAGCTGCTGCTTAAACAACCCAGATTTCGTTGACAGATCTGGAAAACTTACGGGTGATTTGTCTCTTCAGGGGGCAGGTCTGACGAGGTTCATTCCAACTCTCAGATCCTGTGGTTTAACGAGCAGCGGAGCATCAGGTGACGACCCTGTGCATCTGGAAGGAGCCCTCGGGTCCCGTTCCTGACCCCAGTGGGAATTTGTGTGTGTGTGTGTGTGTGTGTGTGTGTGTGCGCGCGTGTGCACGTGTGTGATCTTGGGAAAGGGGCTTGATATCTGAGTGTCTTGTCTTCTCATCTTTTTTCACATCCTGTTTCCGAAAACGCCATCAGACCTGGCTTCCGTGGGAGGGTTGGCTAAGGTCCGCGTGGTATACAAATAAAGTTTAAACGGGGTGTAGGAGGGGAAGCAGTCCCGTATTTCTGATATCTCATGGCAGAAGTCCTCTGGGGCCACACACGCCCAGGCCCCAGATCCCACGTGGTTGGACTGCTCACCACGCCCTCGTGTGTTCATCAGGCAACGTTCGAGGAAGGTGGTTCTGCAGTGGGCTCTGTGTGTGTGCATGCAGGGTAAACAGTGTGGGGGGGGGAGCAGAGATGTTTCAGATTATTCTCAGAAACGAGGCCATATCCATCCCGTGGGAGTAGAGAGAAAAGCCCAAGTTCATGGACTTTTGTGGGGGAAAAACTCATTGTCAAGAAGAGAGATCCAGAGGACTCTGAGTGCGTGAACTCCGGACTGAAGGGATGGGCCCAGGAGCAGTGTGCCTGCCATCGAGGGAGGTCTGTGGACAGTGACAGCCGGCTGGGGACAGGCCAGCACCATCAATCCTTCTGTGAGGAGACCCCCCCCAGGCATCCTGGCTGCCCCCATGGGCCATTGCTCGAGAGAGGGCTGGGTCTCCCGATGGGAGAACTTGGGTCCGGATGCCTCTGAGTCCTTCCACGAGCTCCACGAACCACCTCAATACACTGCAGGAACACGCCTTCCTCTCAGGGCCCCTGGTTGCTCAGAAGCACACCCCTCTCCTTCGAGTAACCAGGACAGGTTCTACAAGCCCAGTCACTGCCACGTGCCCACCTGTACGTCGCAAAGCCCCTTGGGAAATTCAGGTTTACTCCAAGTCCCCTGGGTCCAGTCACCTTGACAAGCAGATTTGGTCATTTTGTCTATAAAATGAGGTGTGACTTACATTTTGGATCCTTTATTTTAATTCTACTTATGCTCCATTACTTAAGATCTTTATTTCAAATTGTTTCTATCAAACTAGCAAGGTTCATTATTTGTCATTTTTTCCCCCTGCCACAATGCACAGAACTTAATTTTGGAATAAAGTGAGAAGTAAAACAGTTGTTCTTATGGACCTGTAACCTACCTGTGGTTTTTCTTTGCCCGCATTAAAGTGCATGACATTGACCCTGGGGTTGAAATTAAGGTCACTCCAGGGTGTTCCTGGGGCTGGCGTCTCTCTGCTGGGCTGACAGTGGGTGCTGAGTCCCTCACAGAGGGCCACTGGGTTGTGAGGAAGCGCTGAGATGTTCAGAAGCACTGGATCCCCAACCCACCGCTAGCTCATGGACGACCTGGGGCCGGTTGCCAATGCGTTTTGGTCTCATTTTTTTTTACATATCATCTGGTTTGGAGATTGGCTTGTAAGGTTACATCTCCCCAACTCCAACATCCTGCCTTTATTTTTCCAAAGCCCACAAAGTAAGTCCTCCTCTTCCACCCCCCTGCTCAGATTTCTGTATCCTCTGAGATCTGCGTCCCAAGAGGCTTTGCAGGTGGAGAGAGGTTTATTTCTCTTGCATTCTGCCAATAAATAATAGTTTCATGTAGCTTTCCATCTGACATCGATCATGTAACACTACAGTGTCAATTACAGATGGAAAACCATCTGTGAATAACTTCTGAAGCACTGACCATTCAGACAGTCCTTGCACTCCCACCACACAAGGGAGCTTCATCAATTAGCCCAGGACTCAGTGTAACGGATGCTCGTGGCTGCCCTCGTATGTCACATGGTCTGCCGGGTCCTATGACGACATGGGGGGCATCATAACAAAGCTGAAGGCCCCTGGGCTTCCTGGAGATCTCTCTCCACTCGAATGAATGTGGAACCTCCTATCCACCCAAGAAAACACTGCCAGGAAAGCTTTCACCGAGGTGTTTTCTCTCGAGGCTCAAAGACATAAAACAGGCTCTCTCGGGTGTATGTGTTACTACTCCCTCTTTACAGGCAGGGAAAATAAGGCTCTGCAAAGGAGATTTTATTGCTTCTAAAGATTGTAAGGCAAATTACTGTGAGGATGATTTAAGTTTGCAGGAAATGAAGGGTGAAGAATAATGAGTTTAATCAATACCTGGGGAGTGTTTCTGTGCTATTTTGGAGTGGATATACAGGCCGAAGGGGAGAGTTTGAAATGCCTACGGTGATGTGAATTGATTGATAAAAAATGAAAGTATCATATGCTCTCTCGTGCCCTCTGGTGGCGAGAGCATATATGGACTCATATATGGACTTTAATGAACAAAATACACTGACGAAAAAACCCAGAGGCATGGATACATGGAACAGACTGACAGATCTCAGAGGGGAGGTGGGGGCTGGAAGAGATTAAACAAAGAACAAATATGCATGTGTGCATAGCCTGTGGACACAGACAACAATGTGGCGAAGGCCGGGGGTGGGGGGAGGGCTTGGTGGAGGACAGAAAAAGGGAGAATACGGAGGACATCTGTAACAGTGTCAATAATAAAACAAAAAATTTTCAAGCCCATTTAAGACATAAAAAATGGCTCCCACTGTGGCTCCCATCTGTCCCTGGGAGAAAGAGATCAGGAAGTACCTACAGTCCTCATAAAGTAGCCCTTGGCTTCCAAGAAACTCCAGAGCTATGGGACTGGGCCTTTGTCTTCTGTTGCCCTTGCGTGGTGCCCAGAGAGTTTCAGCCAGTGCAGCTGGTGCTGGCCAGGTGCAGGCAGCCTCGGGTCTGGGAGCCGGCAGCCAGGAAGCCTAGAAGTAAAGTATTGACACTGTACTTCTCCCAGGGTCATTATTAACTTATTCCTTGATCTTTCCCAATCCAAAGAATCCCAAAGCAAACCCTTTACAGCATTTCCTCATTTAATCCTCCAGCAGGTGTAAGTCAAGAAACTATTGTCATCTTGATTTTACAAAAGAGGAAATGGAGGCTCAGAGAGGTTAGGTAAGTTGTCCAAGGTCACACAGACATGCATGCATATCCTCTGCTGAATCAACAAAAGCTCTGGCATTAACTGTGCGATGTTGGGCAGGCCAGTGCCTCTCCTTAGATCTTGGTTTGTCATCTGTAGAACCAGGAGGATGGACTACAAGGTCTCCATGGCCCTGCTCAATATTCTTGGGCTTCTTTCTTGATCTGCCATGATCTTATTGTACCAGCGTCCACAGGTTCTTCTGTTCGCCACCAGAGGGCGCTCTGCCTCAAAGTAGGTGGCACTCAGGACTTCGGCGTTCCCCTAACTAGTCACCACCCTAACGGATAAAATTTCATTCTAGAGAAAAAACAGTGTGGGTCCAAATCCTCCCATTATCTCAAACCTACCGAGACTACCTCCTCTGTGAAGGCTTCCTGGCCTCTCTGCCCACAGGGCTTTCTCTTGTTTCTAAGCCTGTAATGCCCATCTCCCCCTCCAGGTCGCAGCCCGCTTACCATTGTGCTGACCAGCCCTTTGTCACTGGCATTGTCTTTCCAGACCCCTCGGAGAGAGGCTGAGCTGACGAAGGAAAGATCTGGATTTAAGGCAACAAACCCTGACCCCCTGGTTCCATGGCTTCTGCCTGGGAATGTCTGATCTGATGAAGCCTGCTTCTCCCTTGAGATAAATGTCAAACTCTTTATTCTTTCATTCTGTATTTGTGTTTAAAAGTATTTGGTATTTGAGTGAACAAAGAAGACTCCACCACCTCGTGTCATCCTATCTTTATTGGAAGTGTCCAGGATTTCAGCTACACTGGTCACAGCGGGCTTTGATGAGCTTCCACCAATTACAACACTGTTTCTATGGTAAAATGCATTGTGGATTCCAAGCAGCGGTGTACAAATGGCCTACGAGAGCATCACCCATTACCAGGGGTTCCTTATCAGGTTTCCAGAACTATTTCTAGAAGCATCGTCCATTTCAGGAAGACTTACAGACTCCCCAAGTCTCTTCGAGCATCTTCCACTGCAATATGAAGCATATTTATTCACCCTGAAAAAGGTTTTAAATGTTGACAGATTTTTCTAGGCATTTCTTTCCCACGGGTCAATGTAATCCAATCCCAGATGCGCAAAAATGTCTTCTTCACTCTCTGCTTCGAGAAATACCCTCTGAAATTATAACAAGGAACATGTGTGTTCAGATAGTTCTGTTAAGCATCTCGAGGCTAACACAGTGCACATTTTACTTGTAAAACTGTCTTGTCAAAATGATTATTGCCACAACATAACTCCCTACTTCTGAAAATTAAAAGTAATTTAACTGACTTCTGCAATTTTTATGTTTTCCCACCCCAAAATATGACACTTAATAAATTAAAGTAAAATGATGACAGCTGCCCATATTCAGCTAAAGCACTTGGTATCTTTCCTACAGATCTGTAGTTCTTAACCACAGTTGCTCATTAGAAACACGTGAAGAAGTTTTTAAAAAATATACTGGAGCTTGAGCTACACCCCGGTCTAATGAAGTCAGACTCTCAGGAGAGTTCTCGTCATGAATCTGTTGGAAAGCTCCAGTTAATTCTAATGTGCCACCCAAATTAATTGCTGCTGCTACAGCTAATGACGAGTGGCAAGATCTGGGTACTCGTACGTGCTGGGTTCTCTTCCTGACCTCCCACACCTGCCTTCACCCGCACCAGGCTCCCACCCCATGATCTCTTTAAGACCGAACACCAACGCTCCTCCACCCCTCAGTGCTGGGTACAACTAGATAATGTTGAACGTCAATGTGTAAGTTTTCCTAAATCGGGTTACGTGACTCTGTCCCCACACACACATTCCACATCCCGCCACCATCCACGGCCCTCTCTTCTGACAAGAGCACCTTGGTTTTTCTTTGGGAACCCTGACACCCCCACTCTCAGTCCCTGAGGGTCAGGGCGGGCTGATCTTGTCTCTACAAAGGGGCACACGGCCCAAGCCTGGC